GTTCAAAAAATTGAAGGCGTTTTGAGTCCCTGCTCATACTACCTGTAGTTGATTCGATCGACAGACGCCTTGGTCGGCGGTGACGGGGACTTGATGCATCTATTTAAACTTGATGGATGTCCGTATCGCACCGACTGAGGTGCGAAACCACGTATCTCCATTGCGGTGTTTCTAAATTTCCGTTCGAATCTCATCTCTCTCCATTAGAAACAATCCAAATTTACGACTTTAAATTTTGAAGTAAATCTTCTGCCACCGATAACGAAAAATCATAAAGAATTTAAGTTTTATGATGACCAGCCAATTTTCCGCCCAAAACTACCTCAAATGTGGGTAGAAAGTGGGCAGGAAATAGGTCGGGAATCACTGGTCCGTAAGAAATACACGGGAAAAAGACGTCAACTTCAAATGGAGATTTCTCGCTTGAAACGCAAAATGCTCTCGGTGGTTTACATTTCCTTAATCCTCAGATATCCAACTTCAATTCTACGAATAAGATCTTGCGACTTTTTGCGACTATCAGAGATATTTGAAGTTAAAGTTTGGGTGTTTCACGTTGCTTTTACATTGTTAACACAGGGCTAATTCGAGGTTGCCAACTTTGAATGAACTTTTCTTGAAAAATACGCAAAAAAACCTGAGGTATAACATTTTCTTATTCCTCGAGTGTTTTACTTTGATAGTGCCAAAGGGTTTTCCTATGTCGGTGCTATTATCTTCATTATTTAAAGTTAAGTGTCTTTTGCCGAATTTTGTCCGCATCGTCCGTATGTTGACCAGCTTCTCGGAAGAAAAAAAAGGATTTCTAAGGAAGTCTGCGACGACGCAAATTGAGAAACGTCGTTTCTCATTCTGCCCAAAAAGATAAATACTTAAAATTGAAGGAATTATGACATTCCTCTGTCAACTTATATTCGTCTGTAACGATAAACAATGGGACGCGTTAGGTACGGCGCCTTGATACAACTATACAACCTCGACGGATGTCCCTATTGCGTTCAAAGAATTGAAGGCGTTTTGAGTCTCTGCTCATACTACCTGTAGTTGATTCGATCGACAGACGCCTTGGTCGGCGGTGACGGGGACTTGATGCAACTATTTAAACTTGATGGATGTTCGTATCGCACCGACTGAGGTGCGAAACCACGTATCTCCATTGCGGTGTTTCAAAATTTCCGTTCGAATTTTATCTTTTCCATGAGAAACAATCCAAATTTACGACTTTAAATTTTGAACCAAGTCTTCTGCTATCGAATCCGAAAGATCATGAAGAATTTGTGTTTTATGTTGACCACCTTCTCGAAAGAAAAAAAGGATTTCTAAGGAAGTCCGCAACGTCGCAAATGGAGAAACGTCGTTACTCATTTTGCCTAAAAAGATGAATACATAAAATTGAAGGCATTATGACTTTCCTCTCTCAACTTATATTCGTCTGTAATGATAAACAATGGGACGCGTTTGCTACGGCGCCTTGATACAACTATACAACCTCGACGGATGTCCGTATTGCGTTCAAAAAATTGAAGGCGTTTTGAGTCGTTTACTCGTTTACTCGTGTTGGACACATTTTTTGCGAAAGCCCTGTCAACAATACTAGCAAAAGTTCACGGAGCTTGGGGCGAAAGTTAATTTCCGTAAACCTATCTTTGTGTGGATCTGGATCAAGGTCTTCTATTTATATGAAATGATTGAGACAATTATTAAAGAACAAATATAAATGTGGTTTAATAAAACTTCCGCCACCGCACCGCGCTGACCGCGCTGTTTTTGACGCAAACCGTGGAGTATTCATGCAGTCTTGTAGGCGCTAATATGTTTCATGCCGATCGCCGCGCCGAGGGCTTCCCCTTTTCATCTTAAGTCCTAGTCATCATCGCTCTCTGCGCCGCTCTGCTCCTGGCCAAATTGCGTGTTTGGTTTCTCTCTTAACTCGACTAATTAAAGGTGCTGTCTCTTGTATCACCTGTAGACAACAAAATTAGAAATTACTATACCCTCAGGAAATGAGAGATTTCGTTGCCTTCTTTTGTTTGTAATTTTTTTTTTCTGAATCCGATTTTTTATTATACTTACATTTTAAAAAATTACAAAATTTGCCACCCCTTAAATTTGCTGCAATGGGCCGTTGCCCATGTGGCAACCCCCTAAATCCGGCCCTGATGATGCCACGATAGTTCACAGGAATTCAGCGTGAAGCGACGCGACGGAAAATAAAAACGCCTTCAAGGAGTTGAATGGGCAAATCGAGCTCCCAAGAGGTCGAATAGTGGTATCACGCCCTATGGCACAGATTGTACAATTTTGTATTATGAATCGTGCAGTTTTTGTTGCCGTGCTAGGGGAAAATGCCGTATGAGCTCTCAGACGTCTTTGCCATATTCCCTTAGATATAAATTGGATTTATACGGAAAATTATTAATGGCTTTCTTCAAATTTTTTCGACAGTTTTGCTCTTAAAGTAATCTAAAACAACTGGAAAGTCCAAGGAAGACCATGCATAACTTTCCTGAAAATAAATATTTTATCGGGGGCAATTCGGCAACTCCTGAATGTTCAGGCGGCGTTTTTCCTTGTCACGGTAATTTGAGTCACAATTGTATGTCACAATTTTTAGCAGTTTTTTACGAGAGTATTCGCGGAGTTTTGTCTAGGTTCCACGATACTTAAAAACTGCGGACAGAAAAGCAAGGAAAGCCGTCTTTCGGGTAGGTACTGAAAAACTTGCACGTAGGTACACGCAAGTTAATGAGTGTATCACAAGTACCTACAAAATAGTTGGGCCGATATTAACGATTCATTTTGAATAGAACTCGTCCCTCCGTGTTTGCCGTAAGCTTCCACGGAATTTCTGAACTTGAAACTCGATTTCATAGAAAGCACAGAAATACCAAGGGACTTTTTCACCCATGATGCCCTTTAAAATTAATCTATGGCAATGGCGTGCGTATACATTTTGTATGAATGTGTTGAACATTAAGAGTGAAACGGATGTATTTCAACTGCGGTGTTTCAGAATTTCCGCACCCAATTCAATTCTCCAAGAGTGCTATCAGATTTTGCACGTTCTCCGAGGAATATTTTTCCAGTAGCGAAGAAAAATCAAACGCAATAAATTGAAGGTTGGCGATGATCGGCCACCATCCGAAAAAAAGGAAATTTGACGAGAGAGCTGCGAAGTCGCGAACTGAGAAACACGGTTATGTAGTTTAACCGACATCGATAAGCATAATGTAACGCTCACTGCTAGAGTTTCCAGCGCGCTCAGCATCGGAGAAGGTGCGATGTGTCTCGGAAACGTAGAAAACTCCTTCAATCATTAACATAGGCAACTTCGTAGCACGACCAATCGAGAATCCTCACGTTAGTTGCTAACAGCCAGCTTTCTTTCTGGTAGCTTAGCATTGTTTAGCTGGTATAATGTTGACAAGGGATTTTTTCTCATGCAAAGTGACATTTTAATGGTTTAAATTCGCAGGGTTTTTTGTGGAAAGTTGGAAGTGGAAGTTATTTCATTATTTAGAGTTTTTTTCTTTCGGAGGTTTGCAATTGAGGCACTGGATGCGAAAAGGGCACTTCTCGACTGCGGTGTCTCAGAATCTCAGTTGCTAATTAATACCATGGAGAAAAATTTAATGGACGATTCTTCCAGAACACTTTCCATAGAAGATTGTGGAATCATAAGGAATATTCAGTAGAATTTTTAGTGAAATGGATGCATTCATTTTCCTTACAATGAATTAAATATTAGAGGAGTCTCTGAAACACTGCAACCGAGAAGTGCCCTATTCGCATCCAGTGCCTCAATCACGTACCTTCATTTACGCTCTCCCATTCATCCAACTGAGGCTTAAGCTCTCCTTTTGAGTGACCATGAATACCTTTATTTGGAGACAGACATTTTCATCGATAGGTTTTTGATTATTTTCACTCTAAAAACATCAATTTTGATCAATCATATTTATTAAAAGAAAATCAATTTAAAGTTATTTTTTTACAGCATATTACAGGGAAAGATATTGATTAATAAGTATAATGTTTCCAGTTGGTTCTTTGAACAAGAGAAACTTCAAGCTTCAAGGGCTCAGACATGAGCTTCGGCCCATTTCATACATTGGATACTATTGAATTTGCCGTGGCTATGAATATTTAAAAATTGTTTGATCGGTGACATTTGTTCTTGTACCTAGGAAATTACCCACATAAAATGTTTAAGAAAATGTTTGAAAAATCAAAATTCCTTGACATTTTAATTTACTTTGAAAGAGTGGGTAGATAACTCTGATTGTTCTCACTTGTTTAGGAGATAAATAATGAAAAGATGAACTGTTCATCACTGAAACTATGTCAAGAGAGAAAGGATAGTAATTTCGCCACTCATCTCACATTTCTACGGCCTGTATTTCCTCAGGATTTAAAGGATAATTTCTGGACTTCTTCCTAAGAGCTTGAAATATGTACCCATTTAGTGTGTTTGAGTAGGTTCATGGAAAATCAGGACAGAACTTCAACTTATCTCATCTTATTAATTTGAAGAATTGTGCATTCATTTAACTGTATACCTCATTCTTCTCATGACAAACTACTTAATACTTAATAACCTTAATAAAAATACTGTTTGAAGAGATACTTGCATTTTTTCAAGTTAAAAGTGAGTAGAATTATTTTCCTCATGTGTTGGGATTTCTTTCACTATTTCAAAAATTCCTGTAGTAATACAAATTGCTAAACGTTTCACTTCGATCCAACACATTACTGTAGTTTTTCCTTGGCAATGAAAAGAGATACCATCAGCCAAAAATCACGATTAAAATTGTCACTGCCCCTACTGATGCATATTTTAAGCGATGATATGCGACAGAAATTTGTGAAAATACTTAAAAGTTGATGATTCTGGCAGTTTTATGGCAAATTTTTTGTTGGAAAATACTACTTTGGATGAAAGCACACGTCCAAATGCTGATTCAGATGATTTAAAAAAAATAAAGGAGGTAAAAGATAGGTGTACTTAAAAAATTATTGTGTGTATTGAGTCAATAATAACAAGTCATGGATAAGATTTAGTACAATCTTTGAGGAGGCCCCATGGTGGACTTAATGTGTAGGGATCTGACATTCTGCCAATGTTTTTTCAGCAAAGAAACCAGGAAATTGATGGAGAGATGAACATTTTGGACGAGTTCTTCTTGAGACATTCCTACGTGGCCAACAGCAACACTAAGACACAGGACCTGAAATCAACAACAACCCATTTTACTTCAAATAAATTATGTCACATTACTTAACTAAGGTGTACGGCAAAAAATAACCAACAGTTTTGATTTCGATTTGAGGTTTCAATTCAAGCACTAACGATTTTCTTTTAATACAACAAGAAAGAAAATTAAATTAAATTGCATGTTCATTCCAAAAGTCTTTCTCCAGAATACTACGGTAAATAAGGATTTCCAGCTATTGAGAGTGGACAGAATATTTCAAGTTGGGAAGACAAACTGGACCAAAGTTGAGCACTTTAGCTTCACCACAGAAAAAAATTGAAAGCCAATGACAACTAGAAAATTGAGATACCAGCAGTAAAGAAACTTATGCCCTATACTGGCAAAAATAAAAATACTCAATCTCATTCTCTTCATTTACTCCTTAAGATTATTCGTCAAGCTCAAGTGACGTGGTCGAACTGGCATGCGATATATCGCATCGATAGGGTCAAAAATCTCAGTCGATTTTGAGTTTTTAGCGAAAAAAAAGGACGATAGCTCCTGCGCATGAGCCTAAAGAATCATTCTAAACCCAAAAATTGACAAAATTCCGAGAAATGAAAGCAAAATAGTGTTTGGAAAAAAAACTCACATTCGATTCAGCCATCAATTTCTGTATCAAATGGGAGGTTTTTTTCCAAACACTATTCTGCTTTCATTTCTCGGAATTTTGCTGATTTTTGGGATTAGAATGATTCTTTAGGCTCATGCGCAGGAGCTATCGCCCTTTTTCTTACTGAAAATTCAAAATCTGCCGAGATTTTTGACCTAATCGATGCGATATATCTCATGCCAGTTCGACCACGTCACTTGAGCTTGACGAATCACCTTAAGTACATGAAACTATCCCTCATCATTTAAAAAAATAACATACAACATTCAAATCGATTTTCATGATTTCCTTAGATGAATTGGGTATATACTTAAGAGACGCAAAACTTCAGTGAGCTTTAATTGAATCGATGTATGCGAAAACGTCCAATGGCCAAGACAGTTATTACCTGTGAAAAAACCATATGACCGTCCAAGACAGTGCATATTTCATAATTTGAGTGGACAGTTTCATTGTAACTTAAAGACACAAGATGATTTAAGACCTTAGAATGTAGAACAAATTTTATAAATAATCTCCTAAGTGTAATTAAACGTTTACAAAAGAGATCGATCCTTTTCATTAGTGTCAGGGGACAAAAGAAACCCACCGCCATTATGAAACCTTGTATTAGACAACGCACGTTTTCGCATTTGTCGATTCAATTAATAATGAAGTTTGTCCACAAAATTGTAGCAGAACTCTTTGAGTGAGAGAGCATAAATTTTGAGAAATGAGCTATGATTTGACAGTGCATGCCTAAATACATGCTTATAGTCTCTGATTAAAATGATTTTTGTCTTAAATAAAAACATGTGTAAAACTTAAAATAACATGCATCAGTGTTACTGCCACATGAAACAAAACTCACAGGGTTCTCCTATTTCATGCGCTCAACGCAATGGCCAGACCTTCTTAATCTATACCATAAGGGGGTCAGGTAAATACAAAGGAGGTACATGTCTTACCTTTTTCATCTGGAACTTGATTGTAGATTTGACTTCATCAATTTTTTGGAGCATAGATTCTGTGTGAGATAGAAGACCAGGAAATTTACCAGCTTTGTTTAACCCGGGTCCTAACAGCCTAGGGATTTGTTTGATCAAAGCGTCACTGGCTAAGAATGCATCATACTTTTTCGCTGTAACAGTAGCAAAGAGGATATTTTAAAATTAACCTTAACAGATAGGACCTATTGATTAAAAAGAGATGAGCAGGGAGTCAAGCTAAATTTTTTTCCCTTCTCATTGACCCTTACATTAACTTTTTTGCTGACTTTTCCTGATTCTCCCTGACCTTTTTTTGTAAAAAATTAAAAGAGTATTAACACTCAACAAAAAGTATTCGTACTGATCAGTAAAGAGCTTGCATTTCCATTGGAAAAATTTTACTATAGGCTGGGATGGGGCGGTGCAAGACTTAATATTGATGTGCCATGAGGGTATGCGAAATATCACAATCTTGCATGGGAGTTCACAACTTTCACAGTTATGTACGTTCTCTCCCTGACTTGCATAGTCTTTAAACGCCTTGGATAATGAGTCTTAAAATTTGATGACCATTACAAAAATGACATGAATCACAATAATGGTTGCAATTGACACATTGATATAAGAAAGAAATATTGAAGATTAGACTATGCAGTACAGAGCACAACCTTTCATATTTATTTAGGGTGACCTCAAATTCAGAAGCAGGGGTAAATATTGACTGGATTTTCCCATTGTTGAGAATTGAGAGCATCTTAATGGGAGCATTGTCCGTTAAAGAAGAGTGAACCATTGAATTTAATAAAAAGAAGCAGGAATTACCTAATTTCTTCACAAGCTTCTTGTTTTTGTTGAGTTTCTTCAAAGCTTCAACATCCATGAAGGGAATATTATTAGCTTTTGCTTCATCACAATGTTGCGCATCTCCAAGAATGCAGACTTGCATTTTGGGCCTGGGGATGTACTTCAATCTAGAAAAAAAATAATTTTATATTCTGAAATTGGCCGAGGATCAATTGAGGAAAGATACAATTATGACCCGCACATATGGTTGGGTGATCTGATTGCTTTTTTTCTGATGACACAAATCAACAGTGTAAGTCAGCAATCACGTAACTCGGTTGGCGACGTCGCAGACTTTCTGTCTTTCCCAATAATTTTTGGGTCACATTAGATGTTAAAGAGACTTCATCAGAATGGGATCATGAAGAACTTCAGTTGCAAAATAAATGGTCAGAATTGACAATTGGAATTTTGAGCTTCTATCCATTAGGTTAGTTAAGAGTTATAACAGTTCTGTTCATATTGTAGGACAAAATGCGTTCTCAGACTTCAAAATTACCCGACTTCAGCAGGATATTGAGCTTAAAATTATCTGACTTTTTTATGTTCTTTTCAGCATGAATGATATCTTTCACAAAGAACTTTAAGCGTGAAAACACCTGAGATTGAAAAAATGCAATGTTGTGGGCGAGGGAAAAAATTACAAGGTTCCACAATAAAATTTTGTACCTAACTTTTTCCTGGCTTTTCAGGGTTCGGTAAAATGCCCTGACTCATCCAAAATTTCTCTGACCATTCAAGAATCTGTCATCCTGTGTTGTGAGGAGATAAAATTTACGCCCAGGGTTCATTCAAATTTTAGATAAGTACAAGTTGATGCTGCGATGAATGGAAAAAAATTTTGACGTACTGTTATTTGACAATTACTGAGAGAGAGAATCCTGAAAATTTCTTTAATGAAACTGCCTAAAGCTGTTAGCAAGGAACGAGCACAGTAGATTCAATAGAAGCATAGAGGTACATAGTCAGAACCGAGGATAACTTACCACTGAGCTCAATAGGATAGATGAGACAGTTAAAGTAATAGCGGTACAAAAACTCATACCTCCCCACATGTTTTAAGACCCTGGGTAAAGGTCCGCTAAGAAAATTCTTAGCTCCCTAAAATCACGATTTCACTGCGTTTACTCATGAATCACAAAACTCACGTGTAGTTAACCTCATTGCAGCTTCAATTTCTCATGTACTTTTAAAGAGCAACGGTCACAGCTGCGGAGTTTCACTTCTCTGCTGTATGAATTCATCCTAGTCTCAGATTGCTGAGGATAAGAAGATTATTTTTCCACAACATACAAGCAAGAGGCTCCAATGCAGTGAAATCATGATAGTAGGTTTAGAGAAGGTGCCTTTCGGCTGACATACTTAACAGTCCCAGAGAAACGCTTGTCCTTTTGAGGGTCATAGTTCTTCAAACCGATTTGTAGCTCTACAGTTTCAAGAAACTTCCTTCGTTTCTGGGGATCTTTCGACACTTTGAGTACGCCTGAGACTGCCTCATTCAACATTTCACGATTCACTTTAGAACTCCTGAAAAAAAAAAAAAAGACACCGATGGATGAAAACAGGTTCAAGTAATCATTCAATGTGAGCTGGGTGAAGAGAAAACTTTTCTTATAATTAGTTCATTAAGCAGTCATTCAATTACAACTAGGGATGAATAATTTTTTGAAAGGTTCCAAAGTATTGCAGACTACCCATGAACATAGGTAATTGAAATCCTATTTGTAATCGAACTGGCGCCTACGAGAATGGGGAGGCCGTAACTAGTCAGTTTTGTGATGCAAGCTAGTAGATATTTACCGAAAACAACAAGCATCTCCGGGTCATGGGTGCATTGATGAGTGAGGCAGTCGCTGCATGGACCAATCAGAATGGCCCTCGATCCGCGGAGGTGAGATGAGGTGCGGCGCGTTTGAATCTGAGTAAAGTGACGATTTTCAGTATTACGCTTTCATTCGCTCAATTACTTATTAGACAATGTCACTTATGGGCTCGTTAGTTTCCTTAAGTGAAATTTCATCCTCTTTCGAAAAGGTTCTTTAGAATTTTTGCATCAGATCAACCCCGAGAAGATATCTGCACGATAGAAACACGCGTTAGGCGTTCTCCCATGAGAACACATGTTAATCCGCGGCAGAGTTTCATCTACTAGCATGACGTCACAGGAACGTAGCTACGGCCACTACATTCTCGTAGGCACCGACGGACCCTGTCACTTACTTTACTTACCTACCAATTGCTAAAGAAGCAGAATACGAATTATGCGATTTGGATTACATTCTTACATGGAGATGAGGTGCTAAACTGTGTTGGATTGAGGTCTAAAGTAGATAATGCTGCATTGAGGGTACAGGCTTTGCCTTTCCAATGAAATGCACCCTGTACTGTGAAACATAAAGAGGGTCCAGACTGCGATAGAAGATCGTCTGACGTTACTTTAATATGTGAGGTAAATGCAAGAATGTAGGCGGCGAATCTTCTGCCGCAGTCTAAAAATTTATGTACTCTATCGATGTACGGTTTCTTTTGGCTGAAATGTTTTTATATTAACGGGTGCCCTCAACTTTGAAAAAGATACGATAGGCTATAACGAACGGTCAAATTGGGTTTGCCACCTCCAAAAAATTGGAGGTGGACAAACGAACTAAATGAAGACTGGGAAAACTAAAAATTAGGATGAAACTTACATGGTGAACTACTTCTTTACTGAAGAAATGAATGAGAGAATGAAATATAATCCGTAGAAAATTCACACACGCTACAACCACGTTGCAGATGAAATGTTGAAGTTGAAGACCACGACCAGTCGACCACCCACAAAATGGCCGATGCCGAAATGGACCAATAATGGACGGATGATGATGGAACTGATGTTGGTGGATGGCGATATGAATCAAGAAGGCGCTAAAACTTGAATGATTTCATAGCTCCTAGGTTGAGGTTTAAATATTCCCGCATCATATTCAAATCTTAAAACTTAAATCTATTCAATTTGAATGAATACCCTAATCACGATTGAAAAAGTAATCAATAAATATATCAACAAATTCTTTTAATTCTTCAGATGTTTGCTAAAATTCAAAAGAAGATGGAACAATCTTGACACCCTTGATTTCACACATTATTTAAAATCTAAAAAGAAATTTACGTCGAAAAAATCACGAAAACAACCACTACTTAAAAATTAAAATTGCTTGATTTGTTTACAATCAGTGCTGTCAATGCGTGCTTGCGTCGCGTGCTGCGCATGCGCCATGCTAGCAATGCAATTTATGAATGAACCGTTCATAACGAGACAGACCAATGAGAGGCCAAGAATTCGTCACCGTACTCATCGTAGTACTATGTGTAGTATTTCGTAGCGAGTGTTGCCAGATCGAATGAGCAAATAATGACTCTAAAAGATTTATAAGGCCGTAAAACATATAATAAACTGGAGATTTTCCACAGAAATTTTGTATTCTCTTATCTTGCTTGTTCTTCTGGCACTAAAACAAACTAGACCCCTCGGAAAAGAGCGTTTTCCGTCGAAATCGGTCGAAATCTGAAAATTCACTGTTTGGACTTTACTCGACGATGATAAACGGTTACGCTTGGATCGGGAAAACGTGTGGCCGGAATTTTCTCCAAATACTTAAATGGGCGCGGGTCGGCAGCGCGCGATGTCCATTGTCTTAAGAGTCCGTGATTAAAGTTACGGACGTCGACATAAAAAATCCCCCTTCCAAATCCGCCCCCTCCCCCATCCCTCTTTAATTGTGAAAAACTTTTCTTTGAGAGAACTGCAATCGTCTGAGGAGAGACTACGTAATAATGGAAAATCGGATGCGTTTTTTACGACAAAAATCGTTACTTTTTCCGATAATTCAGTGGTTAGACCTGACACGTTTAAACTTAATTCGTTTGTCTGTTGCAAATTACGTAGGTGCCTCAGGACCCACTCCACACAAACACACTCTTGGGAAAATTAAATCGTCACCTTCTGGTAAAAGTATCTCAAATGCCATGCGACGTTTCAAAATTTCCGCCGCCATTTTATTTTTTTACAGAGAAATTGTTGGTTGAATCTGTTTGAAAATTCCACTAAATTAAAAAGATAGCACAGGGAAAAGAAAGTGAAATTTTTGGACACCTTCGTTGAACGATTTCTCTGTAAAAATATAGAATGGCGGCGGAAATTTTGAAACGTCGTATGGCGCTTTTGGTACTTTAGCCGGGAGGTGACGAATAATTAAATGACCTTTCCGACATAGACGATGTAAAACTCTAGATGATGTAAAAAAGTCTATATTGTGACCAACTTGAACATTCAAAGCACAGCCAAGCCTGAGGAGTAGCCCCCTGGATAAATAGATGATTGAAAATAGCAACAGGCCAAAATTCTGGCTTGGAAGTGCTTTTTACATGTATTTCGAGTTGGAGAGTAAACACTGATCTTCTGTGCAACAATCAAAAGGTTCCAATCAGATCAATTTTTCTCTGATAACCTTGTTGGGATGTTCCGAGTAAAACAGAATGAAAATTCTACTTGCAGTTACGACATGATCAAAACTATTTGTTAAAAGAAAATCAGATAAAGGAATAGATGAAATAGAGAAAAACTCCTGTTGTTAGAGAAAATAGAGAGGTTGTATTGAGCTTGAAAAGTTGAGAAAACTAAAAATGTTTCATTTACAGGTCATACATTTTACAAGCTTTGGGTGGCAAAAATACTGTCAGACTTATAGCCAATAAAACTGAATCAGTGCTTAAAATATCCTTAAAAAAAACTTAAAACTAAAAAAGGTACATGGTGAAAATTTATTGACCAACTTTGTGAACCAGCACTTAAAAAAGATGGCAGGTTGCCCTAGAGTGGTAAACCTAAAAAAGAGCCACCCCAAAAGTGTTGCCTTTACTGGTCCTTTTTTGGCCGTTAGAAATGAAATCTCTGGGGCTCCTTACGAGAGACTTTTTTGTTCTTTTATGCGGCCAAGGAACCTTCACTACGAAATACAAAATCTTCACCCGGCAAAGACAGTAATACAAATTTTTCCTCAAGCTTTTACTCTGGTGAGTCTCTTACTAATGTCCGTGAAGGCAAACATCATAACATCATGGACATTACAACAAATAAAAATGAATAACTTAAATTTTAGGAGGCTCATGACATTAATATGAGGCGATTATTGTAATAAAATTAAGACGAAGCATGGGCAAAACTGTACTTCTGAAGATTTACAGCGTCTTTAAATAATTTGTAGTTCTGTTAGACATATTATTCTCTCTTTTGTTACACACATTACACAAAGTTACACCTACGCTAAATTGGCAAAACGAACGGATAAGTCAGGTTGCTAAATAGCATGTTAAGGTTTAGGATGAAAGAAAAACATACTAATTCGGCCCTGCCGTATTTTCACTGGTGTAAAAAAAAGCACTAGAATAAAATAAAATTGCTACAAATTGAAGGAGTCATCAATGAAAATTTAACGACAAAAAATCGGTTCGTGAGAGAGTTAAAAATCAGCACATATTTTTCATTTTGTAAAAAAAAAAAATCATCAGTTTTATAAAATTAAACCTTCAAGTAACATTCTGGAGAAATTATTTTGATGAAATTCTATTTTTGACTCGAATTCCCTGAAGGAAATAAAAATGCCCTGCTTTGCATGCATTGAATTAGCTTCTTAAACGTAGCAACGCTTGGACTAATTTCATTAGAATTGTGTGATTGAATGGTTGACAAACATCAAGACAGGAACACAATGTTTTAAGAAAAGTATCACAGTATTAGGATCGGCAGGAAAACCCGTCAGAGAATTTTAAGGCACCGCACTTAAAATGCACAAGTCTACAACATATGTTAGTGACCGGCATTAGCTTACAGATCCAACAAAGGAATTCGATTGGATTTCCTTTGGTAGATTCTAGCGCTGTCATTGGTCACCAGCTAGCAGGGCAGACTTGTGCGCCTTATGTCTGTACCTTTACAGTATTTTGAGCAAAAAACCATTCAACATGGAAATCTTTCAGTTCAGCTAAGTTCTGTCCTGTTTACATGTAAGGTTTTCAAAACAACAATATTGGCAATTACTTTTAGCAAGGAAATGTTAGAATTGAAGAGAACAAAAATGTGTTAAGTTGAGTGAAAAATTTCAGTTGAAATTCTGCAAGGACTACAAATAGTTCGAGTAAAGCTTGAACACTAATGCCCCTTCATGGCAACATCTGACCCTTCTCCATTGCTCGGGTTTGCTTCTGTCTTAGACTTTCCATTAACAGACTTTGTATCTTTCGTACTTCCTGCGCAACTTGCAGATGAAGACCCATTAACGCCTACTTCCATTTTTTCTCCATTAGTACTAGTCTTACTATCTTCAATTACAGAACCGTTTGTCACAGATGACGCTTCGGCTTTTGGCTTGATTTTCTTCTCGACTTCAGCAATACACTGTCTAATTTCGTAACCTATCGCAGCACCCATAGGCGGAGGAACAGCATTACCAATCTGATGAAAAAAATTTAGGGTTGAGAATGGAAGATCGACAACATGAAACACCATCAATATAATCCAAAAAATGTTACATATCATTAGTGCTCTAATTATCTTCGTAAATTTTAGATTTTAAAATCGAGGAAGAAACTTTGCAGGCTGTTTAGACTGTGTTGAACTAAAATGTATGATTTTAAACTTCCCTTCCCTCTTGTTTTACATTCATCATACAGCTCTGAGCCTCTCCAACCCCACTTAAAAAAATGTAACTTTTTGTAAGATATTCTGCCTCTCTTTTTCCACAAGGAAAGGGGTATTTTCAGTTAAAAGTTTTACGTGAACTACAAAAAAGTTCCCAAAAATAGTGTATTACTTTCCGAAAGTACATCAAAAATTGTCACTTTGCACCACCATTGAAGAATGCAGCTCCTTTCTTGGTACTTGGCAATATTTAAGAACAGCCTTCGATGAGGATAGTTACTGTACTTCCACAAAATTCAGCGCTTCAACCAGTCTGTTAGAGATTTTCGGAACTCTACAGTAGATAACGATTTTTATTTTCATACTTACTGAATCTTGAGATTTATAAAGGAAGTGGCTTTTTAAGGAATAAGCTCTCAGAGAAAATTGAAAAATCAGGGTTTTCACGAGAAAAAGAAATAATTATTCTGGATTGGAAGATTCACTCACCTGTCGATGTTTATCCAGAACGGTCCCAAAGAAGCGGTAACTGTCAGGGAAACCTTGAGATCTAGCGCATTCACGGACACTGACAACTCGAGTTTGTTCAGGGTGCAATACTCGGCCCTAAAAAAGATTAGAATCGATAACAATTTAGCGACAATAATTTAGAGGAAAGAGATGAATGTTGAATATCTGGTGAAAATGCGGGAAATAGAGAAGATAAATGAAAAAAGAAAATTAAAAATCAATTACACTATTTAATCTATTGATTGGAAATGAATCTCATACTTATGAGAAAACTGTGGAAAAGACACTAAAATTTTACATTTGATTGGCAGATCCAACTAGAATGTTCACGATTCTTCCAAATCGTTGGTTAGAGTAAACAGTACTCTTTTTGTTTACTCTTTTATCCTTACAGTCTTTCATACCATCACCATGTGACACCGTTGCATGATGGTTTTATTTGATTTTAATTTCTTGTTTATTTTTGTTTTTTACTTAATTTTTAGTGGTTGATATTGGTGTCGTGAGACACCGAAAAGTCCTGTGTAAATTTATGTGTTTTTAGCCTAGTTTTCTCCGTTTTTTGCTGTCATCCGATTACTTTCATTTCAGGCCGCCTTCGAGTACCTTTGTTCTGCCTAATACATATCCATGGTGAAACTCCCAAACGACGTATCTTGGATTGCAACTTTGCAGAATTCCTATCATATTTTATTCTTTGAATGGAAAACGATACACTCAATGTCAACTTTTGAAACCTTCAGAGATTTTTCTTCTCGGTGTGAATTATATTCTGGGAAAATCTCAAACAATGATGTTGAGTTGGTCTTCTTTAAAAAAATAAAATGGGAGAAGAGATTTTGGAACATTGCAAAAGAGATATGTGGTTTGAAAGTTTCACCGTTGATATGAACTCTCTTTAACGGAAAGGCTTATCTGCAAATAGCAAACCTCAGACTGACATAAAGGACCCTGCACACTCCTTGTGGGGATGTGCACCACGATCGATTTCCAATTTTTTTATGGCATTAAATTCTTCTTTGAAAGCTGATCAAAAGTCACCATTGCGCCAACCTAATACGAAGCACCGTTTTCGCAGTAATTTGCACGGTTCATGGTGGAAGTTTCGATACGAAGCACTGATTTCGCAGTGATTTGCACAGTTCAAGGTGGAAGTTTCGATTGTTACTTGAATAAGTGAGGCCAGCGAGGCGATATCTATCTTTCAGCACTTGATAAAAACGGGGATTTTATTGTGTACTCTGTGCGCCTTTTTGTTTCACCGTCCAAATCAGATTCTTTCTCTCTTCCACTCTTTTCCTAACCTATTATCAGCTTAAGTTTTTCTTGTTAAATCGCCGCGCTGTCCGCACTCATTCAAGTATTTATCAAGACTTCCAGCGTGGACTGTGCGAAATACTGCAAAAAATGGTGCCTCATAGAAAGTTGGTGCAATATGACTTCTGACTAGCAACCAAAAACGAATTTAATGTAATAAAAAAATTGAAAATTGATTGTGGTGTACATTCCCGTAAGAAATGTGCGTGGTACTTTAGCATGATTTAAAATGTGAGGCATACAATGTGCTTCAATATTAACAAGATACTGCTCTCAACAGTAATCCTAGTACAGGGTTGCTCCAAAATTTAGTAGAAAAAATTTGTAGACATTCCTCTAATTTCCCTGACAAATGGTAAAATTCTGACGTTTGAGGACAAGTGGGATGATTAAAAAGAAATATAAATTGAGAATTGCAAACCCAAGCACGCAACATTTTTTGTTAAAAACATTTTGAAAAGGAAATTAAAGGTAATTTAATGTTTTTTCTCTGACATTTTCATCTTTTTCCCTGACAGTCGCAACTCTGCAAATGATTCAATTTTGAGCAATGGTGATTTTATCTCTTTATCTATAACCCATGCCACTTCTTTTCTAAATATAAGATAGATTTTGAGTATCTGGTGCTCTAGCATCAAAATGTCGTTTGGCACAATGGGTCTTCATATGAAACTATAACAAAAAATTAAATTTAAGTCAAAAGAGAGTAAAATAAGAATAATGATGGAAAACCACAACTAATAAATAGAGTTGCACCTCATACCTGTTTTCCCATTGGCTCAGGATTCGTGACTGTTGTTGAGAAAAATCCATTCCATTCAAGGCGACCGTAGAGGCCAGCCCAATGATTGTGTCGGTTGCCAGTATGTGGCAGGCACCAGGGAATCACAGTATTGAATTGACGATCCATTGGGTCACAAGGCTTGCCATTTGCACAAGAACAGACTCCTCGCAGCGCTCCGGTAGAAGACTTTCCATTCTTTTTGTCATGGTGAGTATACTGTCTATTGGATCAAACAGGATATTGCACTAAATATTATGAAGGACATTTTACGAAGTACTGAGGCTTTACAAGTCTATCATCTAGAATTTAACACATTCACTACCAAACTGGTCATAGTGACAGTTGTTTAGTTGATCCTTCAAAGAGACTGGCGTTTTGAACGACACATGATCATCGCACTGTTGATTGATTGCGGCACCATTGTACGATGAATTCAAGGACTTCTGCGTGCAGTTGGAAAATTTTTCAAAATTCGGGAATATTCTGAGACTCAATAATTTAGCAAAAAAGTTAAGGGTGTTAAAGGTATTCTATAAGCACAATGAATCCTGATTTCATATGTATTCGACATTTGGTACAGCCAACTCTGAGAGATTGAGAAAGGCCATCTAAACTATATTATGATCAGCTGAGAGATTTGGGTTTCTTTAATGTATTATTGCTAAGATTGATGTTTCTGGTTAAAAGTTCCCAAGTTACGCAGCGCAAATATGAACTGTTATCTATAAGTTGTACTTAGAAATAGATACATGTATGTAAGAGAGATGATCGTTCATCTTTTGCAGGCTTATTTTGTTCTACTTCTTAAGATTTTTTGTAATTTATGTGTGTAAATGTCATTCCGACTTAGAATGGAAAACTTAAGAGGGAAAATTATTTCAATCAATTTTTGAGTAACATTTCATGAATGGAGATGAAAGAACTTCGAGCAGATTATTCTAACTTTTTATGAGTATAATGAAAAAATGAAGCTGGTAAACTTACAATTTTTTGGAGTACGTGCCATCAGATAAACGGACAACAATATTTGGTAAGTCTCTCCAGTCAGACCCTTCACGTTTGGGAATTTGAGCCATCCTGGCCTCAACCATTGGAGCCATTTCTTTGCAGATGTGGTCTCGCAGAAGTTGTTGGTCATGGACACCTCTTATCTGAAATAGACAGAAATTAAGAATAACTTGCGGACAGTGAAAACTGATCAATGTGAGTAAAGTGATGGTCTTGAATACTTCAAGGGGCCACCAAGCTAAAATTCAAGGATTTTCATGGCGTGTTTAATAGAGTGTCAACGACGTTTCTGAAAGGTTTTCTGCAAAGACATCCTATTTGCAAATGTGTAGCAACATCCTGCTCTTATGTATCTTACTTCTTGGGTTTTAATGGGAACAAAACCATTTATAATTTTACACTTTTTTAAAATGCATACAAGACCAAACAAATTTTTCAAGAACTTACGACTAGTCTATGATCAGCATTTCCATGAGATTTTTCACTGGGTACAGAGGAAACTTTGGAGAATTTTTTTTAAAAAAATAATCTAATATTTTCTTACAGTAATAAGGGGTTGTCCTTAAATTATGTAACGCGATTTTTCCGATTTTTTGACACCCACCCACCCCTTGTGATGGAATCGTAACGCTGATCCAGATACTCCCAAAATAATTACGTAAAATTTGCTTCAACAAGCCTCCCCCCTTTTTTTACAAGAAAAAGTGAGAATAAAATGAAAATACAAGTGGGAAAAAATGAGGAAAAGAACGAGAGAGAAAGTTAAAATTTTAAAATTCATTATCTAACTCGTAGACACAGTCAAAGAGTTTTTGTCTTTGCCTGAAAATAGACTTTTCCAGGTTGCAATGGTCTTGCAAGATTAGTAGGGTATCAAGGAAAGGAATTAAAACAGAGAGAGGAGTTAATACAAAAACTGATTCCGTATAAGACAATAAAAAATTGTGACTTACCATTCGCTGGAAATGGGAGAGGGGGTCAACAGAATAGGACATTTCATCACACTTGGCTCCATTAGGTATCTCTGGTAGATCAGACATGGCATCCCAAACTGTGATTGTTCGAAGAGGGGCTGATTCAGTCCATCGAGCATTTGAGAGGTACTAAAAAAGTTGCAGAAGAGTTTTCTTAGAAAAAATTCAATAATCGTCAATTTTATTTCTTGACAAAAATAGGCATGATAATGATATGCTAGTAATAAGCCAAAAGAACTGATTTTATCAAATCATGGGACAGAAACCAGGGGTGCTACATTACATCATTACCGCTTCACCAACTTTTGTACTTATTTGCATGACAAACATTCGGTTCACCATTGCCCATTTCATGAATGCTGCTTTTAGATTTTTTTATCAAGGAAATTGGAACTTGCTAGATAATTCTGTTGTGAACAGATAGTTCTGTTTTAGAACAGATAGTTAGATGATTCTGTTCTGTGTCTGAATGCTGAATTCTTATTTGCAAACAAAGAATTTTGAATAAACTTTTGATGAGAAGACAGGTCTTGAAATTATTTGAAATGCACCCTTCTAAGTGGTCCACTGTTACCATTCTCTTTATAAACTTCATTTTTCAGAGAAGTAACTTTTCCTTGAAGCGTATCTTAGTTGTAGATCGATCGAAACACCTCAAATGGATCTCAATTTTTTTTCAGCGATTATACCGTAATACATGGTGTTTTGTTAATCTTCAGCTGTCTCTGAAAATTGTGAAACTTTCAGGATTATGATGAGCCCTGATGCTTTGATGAAGCATGAAACCCATCTGGGATCTTTGCTAAACCGATCAGCCTTCCTTTTGGAGAATTTTAGTTGAGGATTACAATTAGACTTTTAATAATTAGAGGAGGATTAAAGTTTCTTCCTTTTTGAAGCCAGATATTACAGTGAATTTGGATTAGAACAAGGAAGGAAAAACAAAAAATGACTGTAAAATTGCACAGCTACTCAAAAAGAAGAGTCTTGATGCACCTGAGAATAGACGATTATAGGGAAAATGAGAGATTTCTTTTTAATTAACTGGCAAAACTCACTTTTCTGTCGTCAACTGTTACACTAAGGGTGCAGGCACGTGGATTGAACACATGAACTGGTTCTGGGTAAAGTGGTAACTTTTCACCGGGAGCTGCAGCTAGGATAATGGCTCTGAAAAACGTATGATAAAAGTAAGATGATTAAAAAGAAAATTTAAAAAAAAGTTAACACCGCTGAGGTAAAAATAAATAAATGAAAAAGGAAATAATTTTGCTGTTGCAGAAAAATTCTAGACTGTAAAATTTTGTTACACAACTTGATTGACACACTTTTAATTATAGCTATTTATTTTAAAATATTAAAATAGTGAATATTTTATTTTAAAATATGAAAGGCTACATATGTACATAATAATGTACATTCATTAAATACATTCCATAAGTTTACCTCCGTCTTGTTTGGGGAACTCCATAACTGCCTGCTTGTAGGATTCCAAACGTGCATTGATAACCCATCCTCAGGAGACAACGCATCGTCAATTTCAAAACCATACTCCTTTTGAATGATACAAAATTTCGCACATTTTCTAAGATGAAAAATTTCGGACGGTAATAATCACAATACGAAAGGTACGATACAATAAGAGAATTCTGGAAAAAAAAGAAAAAACAAACAAAGATAACAATTAAAAACTTTCTAATTAATGACTTTAAATCAAGAGAATAATATTCATTCAAACCATTTCATTGTATTTTTAAAAACTCCTCTCATTTGTAGATACGATTACACCTGTCACTGTCTAGGATGGCTGCAGTGCCACAGAAAATGGCGTTCGTTCTCTCAGGATGAAATATGCTAATGATGAGTTGCTGCCACTAACGATGTATCATTTAGTGTGACAATTATTTTGATCTTCAAAAGAACATTTATATGAACTAGAAAATGTTTGAGGTTCACTTGATACAATGCAAGAAATCGTACAAAGAATTTAGTCTCCCCCCCCCCCCNGATTGAAAAATGGAAACCTTAAAAAAGACGTACTTACTTTACTTTTTGATTGTTGCATATTGGAAAGTAATGAAATGAGCAGGAGTAAAGTGCTGGGATTATAGACGCAACTGGGAAAGAAATCCAGACTTGAAGGATAAGCATAGAAAAATCTGATTTAAAGAAATTTAAAATAGGTATTGAATCTTACCTTAAACAAAGAGTATTGCCGAGAATTGAAGCGATTCATACCACTGAAACCTTGACATGGAGGGCCACCACAAATTAACTCTACTTCACCTTTAAGAGGTAGTTTTTGTCCTTTATCATTTTTATTTTCACCCTGAAATATAAAAGCAAAGCGTTAAATACAATATAAGTGTGAACAACAAACACATAGACTTGAAAAAAAAGTAAATAACAATAGCTCTTAAAAATACTGGGTCCGTTCAACACAAGGCAAGATATCACAAATAGAGGGTATAGAAAAAAATTTCCTTAAAGATTAGCTTCCCTAAAAACTAAAATTATCGGAAAATTTTGCAAAAAGGTAAAAAGTAAGCACTGGCTGAAAATCGACGAATACATTCTTTGCTAAACTTTGCAGAACAGTAAAATGCTGACTTAAAACTTCATAAATATCTCAGCACTGTTCAGCTCTGAGAGAGAATAAAAAGTGTTGTAAGAAAAACTTTAATTAAAATTTAGATGTGAATTGAAGAAAAAGGAAGTAACTTTCTTGGTGTCAGAAGTAAATTTTGAAAGTTCCTAATATAAGTAGCAAGGAAGGAGGGCAGTAACGTTAGGGTTCTTTAGGGATCTGAAAACAAAGTCCAAGATTTTCCCTTTGGGAAAATTGAAAATGTATTGAACTGTTACAGAATATAAAAATTTTAATAATAGATTACCATAATAGCAATCGCAAAATTATGATCCCCCTTGATACTTTTAAAAAAGTAAGTGCTAGAACTTCAGTTGGACAATTCACCATCAGGCGCATTGAAATTTGTTTGTCACTTGAATACATTTGCATCAGCTGTCAAGTTTTCAAACATCTACACTGAATTAGTGGATTGTGTACTTTAATTGGGAAGGACCAAAGTGAAGTTTTGAAAAAAAGAAAAAACTAAAAATCAAAATGAGCCTCACATCCATGACCAATCGGAGTAAAGCATTGCAGTCTTCAGTAAAAACGGTACAATTTGGATTGTTCAATCTAAAAGCATGTGCAGCAGGCTCTTCTTTTTCTATCGCCCACCAAGATTCAGCGACGCCAGACTGGTGCAGACCCTCTGATAATCCTGAAAGCAACGAGAAAAAACTAATTGCATTAAACACAAAATGCTTATGGTATTAACTCGTAAATGGATTTGTATGCTCTGGTCTTTTTTAAAATAAAAACGGTGTTTACGTTAATCACCAAGTTCTTTTTTACTTTGAACCAAAATTACAATTTGTGGCAACTTCTTCCTCATCACAGAAAATGGACCCCCCCCCCCCTGAAATAGGATTGAAATTGACATTAAAAAATGACGATTTAAAGTATGTTCATTAACACCTAAACTAATTAATATGTATTCACATCATCTTCCGGCTAAGGTCAAAACCAGCTCAACAGGTGCCCTGACTCAATTACTGTGTCACAGAGTAAGGTAGTTTTGAGACAGTCCTTACACTATGTAGAAATACGTAGAAGAAAAAAAAAGGCACTTGCCTCCACAGCCAGCAAAGACGTCCAAAGCGTGCAAAGGTCTAGATATTTCTGGCCATTCTTTGAGTTTATATTCTGGAGTTTTTTCTTCACTTCTGTTGCTTTTTCCTTTACCTTTGCCTTTTCCTTTACCCTGGAAAATTTTGGAAACAGAAATGTCAAAATAAGAGATGAAAATAGAAATGAAATAAAATGATCTGTTTGACATCAATTCATCATGAAGAAGTCTTTATAGGCCTGCCTGAAACTCTGTAAAAAAAACATATTCTTATGTCGACTACATTGACATCTCTCATGGAGACAAATCAGTCAAAATGAATGAATTTACATGGATTTTATAGTTCAGCAGTGAGCAGCAACACCCAAATGAGGCACAGTAAGGTTTTATTTTAACTTACGAACTAACGATAAAATGCTTCTACTCCTTCCTATTTAATTGATGAATTGGGACAAATTCATCCAAAATTTTTATTTGCAACATATTTGATAGCTAGTCAAATTAGCTTACAATGCTGAATTTTTTCTTTTATCTGTTAGCATTTTAAGCTTTCTGTCTCTGCAGAATATCATTTTTTGTTAGTGTTACATTTACCGATCAACTGGGCCAAGTTCCATGATGTTTCAGGCAATAGCAGGTAATATTCTTTACATAAGCCAGTTGCTACTAGATATTTTGATCATGACCTAGGTTCATCATTGCCACCAAGTAGTCCTCTACGAACATCCCTGCTCTTGGGAGTTATGCCGCATTAGGATCACAAAGAAAACTAATATGTTTTTTTTAACATAAATACAATTCTATTATTTCCAAGTCCTCGACTTATCAGATGGAAGCTTTGAGTTGGTTACCTTTCCTTGCATTCCGATCATTGCAGCTTCATGTGGAGGGTCATAGAATTTTTTATTCTCAATATCGTACGCCTGATTGAAATAAAATCTATTGGGTCCTTTTTTGACCCACTCCGATGCTTCTCCATCAATGTTGTCACCACAAATCACATAACATTTTCCAGTTACGTCGCCAAAATTGACAAATTGTTCTGGAAAATTAAAGAAATTGAGAAATACATAAATGAGGTAGAATATAAATAGAGCACAGTGGAACATCCATTTCAGATTATATTTCATTGTATTTTCATTTAAGGGGCTCATTTGGCAATCGATGGTGATGTTCTCTGATGTTAATTATCTAATGTTAGTTTTACTCAAAATTAGATATAAATTCATTGACACAACTGCTCCGTCTCAGGCTTTAAAATTCAAAAAGTAAGGCCTTGTTCACAAGAGCACTAAGGGACCTTCCTGAAAAAATTGAGATACTGATTTCATCGAGTGGATCTGCATGAAAACTAGGATAAGCTCAACTGCTTTCAAAATTGCCTCATTCCCTGTCAGTTTTAATTTTTCTTTCACAGAAAACTAAGGAAAATTATGCCTTCAGATTTTGTAAGTATTCTGAGTATAGAGCCTAAGTATAAGATCATACCTTCATTAGACCAGTACAGCAACTGAAGATCAACTTGTCGGGCCAAACTCTGACCTTTATGTGTGTTTTCAGGTCTGTAGAATTTGGTTACCTTGAGGCATATATCTTGCGCCGCAACCAATAGGTCTTTCGACCGGGTGACAATTCCGTTGATGCGACCAATGCAGAAGGGTTCTGGCGTGTTGGAGTTAGAGCCTTTGATATGATCAGATGATTTGCGGTAATATTCTGGATACATGTCTTCATCCACCTACATCATAAAGAAATTGGATGAGGGATGAACGTGGAGAAACATTCAAAGATAAAACAAACACAATTTTTTTTTTCTTTTTCGACACATATACTTCAATATGAAAAAAGTTTTTGGGAATACATACATAGCTGTCAGAGAAAAGAGAGACTTTAGTGCCAAAAAGCTCAACACTCAGATACTGTTAACTGCTTAGATACAGGAACTTTAGCATGAAATACCTTTTGAAAAATGTTTCACTAAACTATTTATGTTTAAAATGGTAGTTTCAAAAAGACCTTGTTTCTTGAAGTTTTGAATCGTTCAGGACTAATTTGGGAGAATTCTAAAGTGGTTTTGATGAAAATTTAATTTCTGACTGCCTATTCCAAATATCTAAAAATTCCTGCTTAAAAATTTGCCTTCGTGCAATCAGAGTATTTTTCCAAAGGACATTCATCTATAAAACTTTTTTTCTGACAAATATTAGGAACATTAAATGCTTCTGACTTCTTGGGGCTGATACTTTCAATTGCTCTTCACAAACTTTAATTACAGAATCGGCAGAAGAAATGAAAGAGAAAATGAAGCTACATTGTGTTTGGTTATAAGAGAAAAAAAAATGTAAAACTAAAAAATCATATTATACCTTCGCATCTTTCCAAGAGTTAGATTTTTCATTGAAGTTATCAAACTTCTTGAATTTCAATGCCTCGGGGGCTAGATAGACGCAACTGCCAACACGATATTCTTCGTCGTTCCATTTGACAACATTATAAAATACCTATGTTACAAAAAGGGAGAAAGACATAAATTAGTTAAATAATTCAGATAAACAAAGAGAGTGGGTGAAGGAGAAAGATAGCAATAGAATAGGAAAGGATAGACAACAAGATATTATGAAGGACAACTAATGGTACACAGAATTTTTAAAACATCAAAATTTTTTATTATTTGCAAAAATTATCCATGGTTAAAGTTCTAAAAGGTTATTCTTTCACAATAGAAATTAACCCTCTTCTCTTTTAAATAAAAGATTAGTTTTTGTGAAATTTTAAGGAATTTTCAAAATAAATTTTGTTCAAATCTTGAATTGCGAAAAATTCTTAATTGGAATCTCATATCAAATGTTCTCGGAAATACAGAGGAAAATAAGATTTCAACATAATTCATACCTCCTTGGAGTTTTCAGGGGCTTCAATTGGATCACTAACAGTAGGAATCTCTTTCTTGTTCTTCAGGAATTTTCTTTCACAGGATGGGCAAAACCTATAAAATAAACCAAACTATAGAAAATAAAAGTCTCCTGAACGGAATAATTTAGCAACAATTTTGGCACAAAATAAGCTGAGTCCACTCAGAGGAATAGCTAAAAGATATGCAAGGTGGAAGAAAAATCAAAAGAGAAATTTCTACTTTCCAATGGACCACTAAACAAGGTTTAAGCTATGAAAAAATGTTACATAACTCACATGCCTCTTCAAAATCTTATGCAGAAAATAATTCACACAATCGGAAGTTTGAAAATCAACTCTTCGACAAAGTATCAATTAGTATTCATCACTTATCAAATGGAAGTTAGATTATACAAATGATGACATTTGTATTTTTGTCCTGCAACCAATGATGATTTGATTGTAAACACTGGTGTCGGATTAAAGCCTTAATTTCCAGACTTCCCGTTGTAAGATTCGACGACCTCAGGAAATTTTGAAGAGTAAACATGTTGCGTAGTACTTTAATTTATACCTTATCTAGAGACATATTATAGAAAATAATTTTTTTGGGGGTCAACGTATGTTCACAGAGGAAATTACCCCAGAATAAAATCAGAAGAACTTTGAACCCTCACTCAGCCCTACTGATACTTTTTAATTACCGATAGATGAAATTTTTTGGCTGCAGCACTAATTTTACTGATCAGCTTTACATTGCCAGCTCTTTTCAACTGTTAAGAAAACATAAAAGATAAAATTATTGTTACCGGTGCAAAGCATCTTCATTCCGGCAGACAGGATCTTCACCAATGTCTTCAAAACGAGCATGCAGACCATCGTACCTAGAAATGTTAATTGAAATACAGTTAAACATCAAAGCAGCTCTGAGGCATTCAAAAAAATTTCTGATTCATTAGTTTCTTCTTATCTTAATCAAACAGAATGTCCTAAGACTTGATGAGAAAAAATTCTCAGATTTTCCCATGATTTCCGACCAAAATATCAAAATTCTCTGATTTTCCACATCAAGAATTTGGGTGCAAAGAACTGAAAATAAACAATTTTTGGCATTAATTTCACTCCAAATATTAGAAACAAGTGAATTTTTCTCCTTCGATTACTAATTATTAAACTAACTAAAATTGTGATACTTTATTAAACAGTTTTCCTATATTTAATACTAAGAATGTAACTCAGAAAATTTAACGATTAATCCTTCAAAAGAAGGGATTATAAAAATGGGAAGGCTAAGAGGTAGAGTTGGGCTGGATATATGGCGATTATCCAGACATCCAGCGATTATCCGGACATCCGGCTCCGGCCAGAAACGGTTTTTACGGGTATTCGTATCCGGCGGGATAATCGCGCTGTGCGGTTTTTTGACCCGCCAGATACAGCTTTTCCGGTTGTGAAATTTTCGAGAAATTTTTGGTGATATTTTGCTGCTTTACAGCGCACTTTGACTAGATATGGTACTGTTCAACTTTTTGAAACTTGTAATCACCGGACTTAAATACATTTTCCGCAAATTAACACGATTGCAACATGATCCTTATTTCCTTAAGGCAGGGTGTTTCATTTTCAAAGACAAAGAATGCAGGTAGAAGAGAAAAAAAACAATGCCTTCAACAGATGCTAAAGTTCCCTGTCGGTAACATCCACTACATTACTCCAAGTGTAACTCTACAAGTATTGTAATGTCGCAAATGCAGTTTGTCATTGCAGTATCGAAACGAAGGCCAATTAAGTTTGTGATCAGTTTAAACACTCATTTCTCTTGTTCATTTAGAGAATCTCATATATAGAGATTAACTGAGCAACTTTCCGTCACAAGACAGGCTTTGAAATGCTGCAACTTTCGATAGGCAGGCAGTGACGTTGTTTTCAAAAGTGTGAGGTTGGCAGCACTGTTTTCCACTTTTGTCTTGTTTACTTACACTTCGGATAATATCTTTCTTTCTACACATCAGAATCAGATCCGTCTGCCCAGTCATTTTTGTATAGCGGGCCAACTTAATGTGTGTGCCTCTTGTCCCAAGCGGACAAGATCAGGAGATTTTTCTCACACAGAAACGCACGATCCAGATCGATATTTTATCCGGTTCCGGCCGAATACCTCGGCGAATTATCTGGTATTCGTATCCAGAGACACGAAAAATCCATTTCGGCCCAACTCTACTAAGAAGTTTCTGTATCCCTGGTCTTAATATAGACGAATTTACCTTTGACAAATGAGAGTTCAAGGACAGATATTACCTTTTCTGGTAAAAGAAGGTCTTTCCGTCGTCTTCACCAATGAGTTCTTGGATGGTTGTAAGGGGCTCACCGCCTTTTGCTGCCCAATCAGATGGAGTTGACAGCAAAGTGACCTTTGCTTTGGCGCTTAGCGTGGAGACAAAGCCGTCTTCACAATCATCATGTAAGAAAAGTTCTTGCGGATCTGATGCCTCTCCAAGCACAGTATTTGAACCTCTCCTACGGAAAAAAAAAAGAGTAATGCTCGATTCATGGATCAGAATTTTCTAGAAATTTTTTCTGTCCTGTAGAAAAAAGTGAATGTATAATTTATTTCATTTTCTCGGAACATTATCCATTTTAGCCTGCGAGTTCTTGATGTACTTTTTTTTGTCATTTCAAAAGGATAAAGTGTTTGTGAAACTACAAAATCACAAGTTTCAGTTGCAGACTGTCCACTTCTCATATTTATTTTTTGGGGGGATACTACAGAACAATTTCCAACCAAATTTCCAGAAAAATTTATTAAACAGCAAAGAAATATCAAGCAAAAATTTGCTAGAAATGTCATCCATCAAAAAAGTAAAGCCGTTAGAGAAATCTGCAGCATTGAAACAGAGAAGCGTGGTGGTGGTTTCATTATTGTTACTCAGTCTTTCAACAAACGCTCCAAACTTACAAAATGGATATTAAACCCAATTTGGTCAGTCACTCAGTTTTAAATTTTGGTTTTGACATTGCAGACAATATTGGATCTTAGGACATTACAATCCTGAACAAATTGTTGCTACCAATTTTTATGGTATTAACAGCAAGACGTATATGATAATTTCAGACATCGTTGAGATAACAACCACAGAGATAAATTAGGAATTGAGTAGTTTTTCTTTCTTGAAACTTACAAGAACCAGTTGGTATGAAAGTATCTCTCTTTCGTCCGATTGTCTTGCCACATGAAAATAATGCGTCCGATGTAAACAGGGATGCTAGGATTGCTCGGTTCTACAATGACACAGTCATTAATGTAATACTCGGTTTTGCCAACTTTCACAGCCCTGGAAAAACACAGATTAGAATCAAAGATATTAAATAAAAAACAAATTATCTTGAAATTGATTTTTGGAATCTTCATGAGTATCTTGAATACATGAGAAAGTAAAAGATAAAGAGGTTTCGAGTTTTATTAAAAAAGACTGGCGGAACTTGAAAGAGCCTCAGCTTCATGTTTCAGCATTATTTCAAATTTTTGGGTATTTTTAAACATTCCACCTTCAGGAAATTTAAACAGCTCTTTAGAATTTAACAAAAATTCAGGTGTAAGACATTTTCCATAAACCTGACAAATGCATGATAAGTGTTCTTCTTCGTCTAGTTATCTCAGATCTTCTCATGCCGTGAGTATCATTTGTATGAACATTTTTAAAAAGAAAGAAAAGAGAAGACTTGAGGGTATAAGATAGTTTTCAGGAAGAACGCAATGCCAAGAAAACGGATGTGAGACCTTAGACATTTACTATCAATTTACTTTATTAGAAATATCAATTACTGTCATATCTCGTTATGGCGTTTTCAAAAGGGAATTAAAAGTAGACCATTGTCTCCAAAAAAAACCTTATTTAGAGCAACACTTTAACAACAAGTGGCCAGCAGAGACTGTAAAAATAAATATTGTTTCCAGGAAACAGTAAATTCAAGAAACATTATAACAAGATACGACTATAGTTTCTTCCCACAACTAATTCAACCTGAGGGGAAAGTAAATTTTTTTGGCTCCAACAGCAATAATATGCTATAAGATTACATAATTTATGTCAAATTACATCTGTTTTGAAAAAACTTCCCTTTACTTAAATTCACCAGACAAGAATTATTAAGAATAGACAGACAACACATCTACTGCCAAAAACCTATGCAGCTGGCAAAGATACAATGAACACATACTTGTAGTACGTCTTGCGAGGCTCTTCTTTGATGGGTTCCCCAATCCACTCAATGTCCCTCTTATCGATGGATTTGGCTTTAACACTGCGAGGCGCACATGTCCAGCTCATGCTGCTGTTGTCATCTTGATTATCATCTTCTTCTGGTTCTGAATCATCAGCCTCTTGAATTGCCATGTTTGGACATCTACGCTGAATGCAACACTGTTTGCTACGGCCGGATCCTCCAAACTTGACCAAGTCGCGACAGGCAACGCAAGTTCCACAGTCCGGGAGCTGGCAGGCTTCGCAAATGCCACATCTGCGCCTTCTTGGTCCCTGAGTCTGAAAATTGACGATTAGTGTACTCAGTTTCCAGCCAAAGAAAATTGGAAAAATATTAGGAAAGACCCATAAATTACATGACTGCCATTACCCAATTACCCATAATTTACTTTAGCAGTCTGACCATTCTACCAAGCTAAGAAAAAACGGTTTATGGGTCTCCAGGTGTTGCCCAATTTTTTCCGTTAAAATGCTAGTTCTCTAGAAAACTTCTTCTTACAGAATTTCATTTACAATTTTGAGCTACGGTTTCTGTAGAGATCAAGGATAAATATTCATAACTTTCCTCAAAAATTAACATTTAAATTGCAGAAATGTGGCAATGCTTGAATGTTCATACATTGTTTTTTCTTAGGACAGCAGTATTTAGGACAGAGTTCCACACCAAAATATTGTAAACTCTGATTAATTACTTTGAAGTAATTTATTATTTATGGTACTCAGAATGGAGCACTGGATGGTGAGTCTCCACAACATCATTAATAATGATGTTGTGGAATAATGATTCATTATTCCACAACTAGTCTTGTCCACTCCATATTTCATCTTAGGAAGAGAGGGGAAGGGAGAGAAGAACCGCTAATTTTTACTAACCCCTTCTTTTTCGCTGACTTTGTCCAGTTGATCAGTGAAGAACATTTCAAACACATTTTGAACGAGAGCTGTTGTTGTTGCTTTACTCCACTGAGCTTTATCCTTCTTCCGGAAGTCTTTCTTCTCACTTCTCCTCATGGCTCGCCTAGAAAAAATTATTTTAAAATTTAAATTATTATGTACTCTTCATAATTGTAAACATTTACACATAGTGCTTTGGAAAGGTTGGCACCTAATAATGATGAGAAATTCTGAAGTCTTATTTGAAATTACAAAAGCCACATAATTAACTTCTACGTCTAATTTTCATGGTTTCATCTAATCCACAGAAAATTTCATGCTTAGTGTTGTTTTGTTTTGGATTTTTAAAAAAATGAAAATTACGCAATACATAATACACAGAGCCTGATTCTGGTTGAAGTTGGCTAATTTACAGTCAACCTATCTTCAACGAGACACCAATGGACTACTAGGCAGGACAAGAAATCAAACGCTCCTGCACATATTTTCACAACAAAATTTCACACAAAATACATTGACCATATCCACAACCTAAAAATTTAACTTATAAGTGAGAAAAAAAGTTCATAGTCTACATCAATAACAGTGAATTCCAACTTCTCCTCACGAAAAAACTGATCTCAGTCAACGTAGAGACTGAAATCAATCTGTTCTTTAGGCGAATAACTATAGCTTCGTTTCACTCATGTTTCATTCCTTTTTTGATATAGGGAAATACTTCAATCGTAAAATATACTGAAATTAGTTAGAAGCTTGATTGGACTCAAGGACTTTGGTTTTTTGTGAGCGGGAAGTTGAAATATATGATAGCAGATAAGAACCATTAATTTCTCACTAATGAGTTAAATTTGGGAGGTATTAATACATTCATCGTTTCTATAGTCAGACACTCGCTAGAGCTTGGAACGTAGTTCACTCACACAAGGTTATTGTGACACTGTTTCTTTTATAATGTTATATGGATTGAGTAAATTAAAAAAGAAGGAAGTTTTTTGGAGAAAAAAGATATGCTTGGTGTGAAGCTCATTTTTCCATTCTCACCAAGAAATTTTTTTGAAATTTTGACTTCAATGAACTGCAGAAGCTTTGTTTGCCTATTTATAACCAGGAAAGTCAAAATTGGAGCAAGATCATAATCTTGTTTTTAATAGCTTAGTAGCTTTATTCCCCTTTGCTGAACGAAAATAGGGCCAAACCAATGGAGAAAAAGGAATTGATTGCATATTAATGCTAAAGGTGCAAAAACTTTGTTGCTTTCACATCTTTTGAGTCACCTTTAACATTGCTGTCTACATAAAACTGCGCGTTTCACTATTTTCTTTGCATAAAACACACAGTTGGCGGTTTCCTTCAGTACAAGTAATGCATTTAACAGGTTTCCTCTAAAAGAATAAGGTGTTAGCAGTTTCATTTATAAAAAAGTAGTGGCTTTCCCATTTTGCAGGCGGCTTCACATTTTAAAAACCCCTTCACTACTGCCTTCACATTTATAATACAACTGACGGAGACCACATCAGTTGTTCGGTCACACAAGTTGTGCACCTTTGATTGATACTAGCAGAGTTCTTCTAAGCAACAAATAAGCATGCCTTTCGTTAAAAAACTTGGTTTATACAGCATGGCTGAAATCAAGTTCTAAAATTAGAGCATATTGATTTTCTTCTTCCTTGACCCCAAAATAAAAATAATCCGGGAAGCTCCATACCTTTTGTTGAAGGTGACACCGGCCAGTTTGACAAGCGATCTCATACATGAGGTTGTAATGAGGAGAGGATCATAAGAGGAGGCGGCAGCATCGAAACTCATTACCTGGTCACAGATGAACTGGGCATGTCGCAGCAAACACTCTTCTGTCAGTGCTGACATTCCACACGGAGGAACAGTTACCTTAACAGAATAATCAGAGGGAATAGTCAAAATTAAAGAAAGGGGGGAAACTCAGAGGAAACTTCGAACGATTACTTCTCCTGAACACGGATATGACACATCAGACTGCTGTGCTGAGGAAAAATGCTGTATTGACCTGCAGGCATTACCAAATTTTCTCCCATACAGTACAAATTTAACGGAAAAGTAGCAAATAATTATCTTCCAATTTTTCAGACAGTTTTGGTTGCAATTTAATCTAAAATATATAGAATTTTCAAGGAAAATATGCATGACTTTCTTCAAAAATAATTTTTTTGACAAAGGAAATTTGGCAATATTCTAATGTTCATTCGGTGCCTCTCCTTAATATGGCAGAACAACTGTGTCAGGATTCATGATAGTTTTTCAAGAAAATTACTGGCTTTCCGGGAGACTTTGATTTGCTCCGATCCGAGAAATGGATGAGATCAAAATCTACAACTCACAGTCAGTGTTTCTTTTGAATTAAGCATACATTTATTCAAATATTTGTTGAATCAATGATAAGTTGAGTTGAATATTTGTTAAATGAAATTTTCATTTAATCAAATTCTGTTTTACAGAGTGAGTCAACATTAAAGAGATAAAGATTTTTCAAGTTACACTCTACATATCTCTGTTAAATAAAAACATTCCGCCGTTCCCCTGAGGAAGGAACGTAACTCCATTCCAATTTTGAAAAATTCATTCAATCCATTCAATTTATTTCAGGAATATGACTGAGCAATGCAACAATGATCATGCGCGCTTTTGTCCATGAAATGATTATACATACATCCATTACAAAAATTCTGAGTATTCATCCAAAAATATGAAGTTTAGGGGGATGGAATCACAAATCACAATCAGGTCCGATAAAACATCATGAGAAAGAGCAGTTTGACAGTGAAACTCCCAAACCACATATCTCGTTTGCAGTATTTAAAAATCTCCGCTCCTGTTTCATTTTATAAAAAAAGAACAAATCAACATCAATTGTTGTTGAATCAGCATTTACCGCAGACAGGAAAAAAAATCTGAGTAGTTTTTAAGAATTGATGTTGAGTAATTTCCCCTTAAAAAAACCAAGTATGAATAAATCTTGATAGAGTCCGGTGTGGGGGGGAGGCGTGCAGGCTGATTCTGAAAATATACTCACAGATAGTTTGTTCAAAAGGTCTTCATAGGTTGGGTTGTCTTCATCCAGCAAGAAGTCAATGACAAGTTTGCCCATGTAAATTTTTTCATTCACAGGTTTCATCACAGGAGCGTAGGCTTCACTCGGTTCCATTAGAAAGTATTCTCCATACGCAGTTGAAAAACTGATCAATGCTTTTTCTCCTCCGTCATAGCCACTTACGTACCACATGTTGATTGGACCCAGATCGTAAGTTGGGATGCCGCCTGTCATGAAAGAATTAGTGATGAACAATATTGAAAGACAAATGCAATACACTTGTGACTTACGGTGTTCAAGAATTTTAACTGAAACTATTGAGAAAAGACAGTAACTGCAAAAGTTTATCAGTGTTATCTGAGACCAAAAATGAAATGCTAAAACACGAACTTTGTAAACTACATTATTATCAATTGAGTTGGCACTTGGTTTTAGTGACCAGCGTACTGTTAGCAGAGGCACTTTTGGGCAACTGGACTGATTCATGTCGCTATGAACAAAACAGAAACATCCAATTGCACCTTAAAAGCTGGAAAAGTTAAAGATAAGTCTAAGAGGTTTGAAGATTATACCTTCTGGCTCTGGAGCTTCATCATAGATAGGTTTGACATAACCAGAAAAATAGAGTAAAACATTCCTTTCGATCAATCCACTGTCAAATGGACAAAGGTGACCATTCTTGTCATAAACACTGAAACCAAAAAAGCATCAACTTGTCAAGCGAAATTAATTTCAGACTATGAAACGTTTAACAAGAATTTATGAAGAATTTTAAGAGGCAATCTTGTTCATTTTCTTACAAAAAAAAAAAAAAAAAAAAAAAAAAAAAAAAAACATGGCTTACCAATTTACAGAGTTGTAATTAGAGACACATTTATTGACTTTACCCATCAATTTCATGATTAACTCATGTACATTTTATTTCATTCTTTTGACTCTCTATTTACATAAAAAATAAATAGAATTAATTACATCGGATCTTAATTAAAATTTAAGGATACAAGAAAACTGCAAGAAAATTAAATACTGTAGTAATCCGTAGGGTATTAAAATATTTAACTCCAACTGATTGAAATTATAAGCTAAGTTGGTAATTTTGCCATCGAACGTTGAAATTCTGTATAGAACAAGTTACGATCAAATCAGTACAACCCGAATTTTGATTTAAGTATTACTACATTGTAGTGCCCGATTGCTAAATTCCTAACTTTTTCTCTAAACTGAGGTGACTGATGAAAAATTAGAAGAAAAATTACATCATCATTCACAAACATATTGATTCATACAACCATAGCATTTAAACCATACTTTGGTACAGAGGAATATCAATTATTGGAAAACAATTTATTCAAGGGGTCTATACAATACCTGAAATGGGTTATTTTATTCTGCGGCCTTTCATCATGATCATTGAATACCTCCTCCTCACCAGTGAAAAGAGCTAGCTTCGGATCAGTCAGTGCTACAAACTCTTCTACTGCGTTGTTCGGATGCCCCTCGTAAAGAATGAGATCAGGATCGTTCAGGAGCTGCCTACAGATGGTGCACTTGGCTGGTACAACTTTAGCAGGCTTTCTGCAGCAAGAGAGAAGAATGACTTCAAAGTTTGGAAAATCAAATAAAAATAGAGACAAAAAACTAGCAAAAATTTGAAAGTACATAAAATGTTCCAAATTTCATCATTGACTTTGCAAGTAAATCAAGGTACATATTAAGAAATGACAAAGGCACTTTTTGAAAGACCTTAGGATTAAACTGAGATATCAGCAGTGGTGAGATTCAGAGTGAATATTTTTAGAATTGACTCACAATAGAGGAGCTTCAGGATTTCTTTTCAACAGTGTGCACGACGAACACAATCTGGAAAAATTCTATACTTTGTACCTGATATATGACCAGTGATAAATGATGAAAGTTTGAAGAAGAAATGCTTTTAACACACTTTGCCGAACGGTTCTTAATCAGATTTACTTTGAGCAGTTTTGCATTTGCATATACTATGACAGACATAAAAAAATATAGGCTCTTCAGGGTATCTGACATTCATTAAAAATAAAATTTCCTGATTATTCCATGATCAACATGCGAAAACTTTTCTGGTTTATAACAATTTACAAAAGAAAATTTATTGATTTTGGTGACAGAGTAAAGTGTTCCTATACTGATAATGTAAACTTGAGGGTTTTCCTCATCAACAAGTTACATGCAAATTCCATATCTATTTTCCAAGTTTTAGGGCAGTTTTCTATTATCTAACATGTAACATTTCAGATTATAAATTCTCCTTTTGTAGGTCTTCTAGACTAGTTTAAAGATGCTTTGTGCTGACACGAAACCGGTCACAAGTTTTTTCGCCAACACCAAAAGCACTACCTTTACTTAAAGCAGTTCAAAACAGATTTCAAGTCAGGAAAGTTTCAATGATAGTCCTAAAATTTCAGCAATTAATCACTAGAACCTTTCATCTTAAATAAGCTTTCATGTTTAAAACTTAATGATGGGTTAAAATAGTTCATTTTTAAATTTAATTATCCATGCTTTGTGTGATCAATTAACAGTATCTAGCATCTTTTCATGCAAGTAAATTGATGATTACACATTCTTGCATCTTCTTGATTCTCAGTTTACTTATATGATGAGCCACATGGCCGATCTGAAAATCTTAATGTGTGCTGCTCGTACCGTGGTCAGCAAACAGTGCCAGCCATTGCTAGAGCCCTCATATGCCCGCCGATTTATCTGAAATGCACATTCCGCCGTCCACAAGTAAGTTTCACCTGACATTAAATTTGTTTGAAATTGGTGAGTCCTAAAAATGCATTTTTTCATACCACCTTTGGAAAAATGGAACTACTTCGATTAAGAAAGAAAATTCTTACACTGCATTGTTGGTTTCTTCTGAATCCTTCTCTGCGAGGGAATCATCCAACTTTATCTTCTTTTTGGAGCGATTAGCCTCGTCCTCATCATCGTCTTCTTTCTCCTCTCCTTCGACTTTGATCTCAGTTTTGATGACTTTTTCACTTTCCTCTGGGACATCTTTTCCCTTGATTTTGTCCTCCTTCCTTTCCTCACTGAAATAAATAATAGTTGCAGGTAAGTAAAGATGATTTGATAAAAGAAGAGACACTTCGACAGTGTAAGTCGGCAATCACATGACTCGTTTGCGGTGTCTGAAAATCTCCGCCTCTTTGTTATTTTTACATAGGAAAATAAATTGACATCATTCCTTGAAGTTTTTGCAGAATTATCTTCGCACAGAGAGAAAAATCACGGCAGTTTTAAAGAATTGTCGTTGAATAGTTTTCCGTTTAAAAAATAAAGTATGGCAGGAAATCTGCGATGTCGCAAACCGAGTTATGTGATTGCCGACTTACACCGTCGACTTATTAAACATGTTCAATACCTTCCCTGTCATAAGAAAAAGATAAAAAAAAAGTGACCCACCATCTGACCGATCACATTACACCATTAAACGTATGTAATCTATGTCTGCCAGACAAACACAAAATCTCAATAATCCGCCGACAGCTTTGATCTGCAATAAAGGACTCAAAGTAACTACCTCCATTAGGGGTGGTAAGAGTGATAAGTGCACATTTTCTGATAGAGCTCGCGTCAGATAAGCTGGCAGATTTGTTGTGTCTGTCTACAAGCGATTACGCGGCGCAGTTGTCCACTGGTGACTAAGGACAGGCTGAGGGCAACATCACTGCCATGCCCGGATAAAAACACGGACTTCTGTTCCAAGGGGTTAAAAGTAAACAACAGGCAGTGTAACTGATGTGAGTTCGAGTGCGGAGGTACATAATTGATGGTTAGAAATGCAGCTGATAGGAGGTTTTGATATTGAAGCCGAGATATGAAATGATACTGTAAACAAAAATTGGTTTCCACCATGTGCTGCCAAGCGCTCGTCCATGTCCAATAACGAAGGACTCTCGTGTGTGGGTGCACTGTGCAAAGCCCTCCTTGCTGTGCACAGAGCAAAGTTGGAGGCTTGCTGAGAATGAGTTCGTATAGAGAAAAGAAACATGAGACGATTCGGAATAAAGGAGACAAAATGATCAGACCTGTGAACATGTTCTTCATGGGGAGCCGAGTCCACAACTACGGATGGCATTATCGAGACAGTTAAACACGGACGCACAGACGAACGAAGGCTTCTCACAATTGAAACACGCTGAACTTGAGTAAGATAAGAAACGAGCTGCAGTCAGCTTTACAGTTTCGTTGAAAAGATTTTATCACAAAAGCTAGGAGCGATAAGACTCGCTAGCGCGGAAATAACAATAAGTTTGTAGGTTATCTTGGTTGGCGGCAAAACAGTATCGTTCATGTTTCGATACAATGTATCGATATTTCCACGTTGGTCGGGTTCGTTTCTCTTCGATGTATCGTATCAAAAACTCGAAACACCATAGATTCAAATGCTGCCTTTCTTTCCCGCGTGTTTTCCATTTGTTTACAAACCACAAACGATCAGCTGACCAGTGGCGGCAAATTCAAAAGTTAGCGGGCTAGGTTAAATTGACGCTTCGGGCTTATACGGACCGCATGGGGAAAATCTTCGGCTCACTGAAGAAAACTGTATGATTATTTCTCAGCTGCAATTATTCTTAAATCCTTTATACACATCACATGTCCCTAAATTAGAATGAAACTAACTTAGATATCTTATCTGAATGTCCCACAAAATATTTCAACTCCATGCAAAAAAATAAAAACAAAAACAGAAAAATATATCGACGTTGAAACTAACAAAGCATGTATCTCGGTTTGCGATGTTGCAGACTTCCTGTCATATTTAATTTTTTAAAAGGAAAACAACTCAACGTCAGGTCTTGAAAACTTCCGCGATTGAGTCACGTGGTCTGGTGTTTCATCATCGATATGTCTTGAAATATGAATTTTTTCAGTAAATCTCTCAAAATTTGTTGAGTTGGGAATCTTCGGACGTCAAATTTAGGTCTCAGCATTCAGGGGTCTGCAACAAATTCTTCGAAACGTATATCGATTTCTAAAATACGGAGCCACGCATCTCCGATTCCGAATGCGACGTTGCAGTCTTCCTGTCATTCTTCATTTTTTCTCGGAAAACAGGTCAACGTAATTTCTTGAGAACTGCCTTAATTTTTCCTCTCTATTAGCAAAACATTCTGCATAACTTTCAAGCAATGAAGTTGGGATGTTTCTTTTCAAAAAATGAAATAAGACTGGAAATTTTGTAACACCGCAATGGAGATACGTTGTTCCGTACTTTGACCATCGATATAACTAAGCCAGCGTCTCTGCTTCAATTTCCTCATTTTTGGAAAATTCCCGACTTGCGTAAAAATGTCAAAAGAACCGTCGACAGAGTACACGGGAGAATTTCATGAGCCGCCCTTTTGCCGTCCGCAGTGCGCATGGCGCACACCCCGCCTTTCATTATTACACTTCATCTAGAGTTGAGAGCATAGTTCACTAATTACTTCACACGACCAGTGTGTAATTAAAAAAAAAAAAAATTACACAAAATACAAGTTTCTCCGCCAAGGGGCTCTCCCCGCAAGAAATCGGTCACCACCCGCCCGCCGGGAGAGCCGAGGCGTGCTGCCAGCGCGAAACGCGCGCTGACGCCTACAAACCTAAAGGGCTGCTTCACGCATTGCGTAATGCTTGAAGTATCCCCTTAGGTTTGTAGGCGTCGTCGGTGCGCGTTTCGAGCTGGCAGCGCGCCGCGCCGCAGCGTGCCATAATAGTCGAAATATATCGTGTTTGTAATTGTGAAATTTATGGGTCAGCAGGGTATTAAAATATAGGCAATTTGACATCAAATTCGAAATTAGCGACTCAAAAAACTCATCAGCCGAAACTTTCGTGATCTTTCCATCATTATCCGACTTATTTATCCCAATTCTTGAGTTTTGGATCATAGTACGCCGCGGATGTGCGGCGGCTCATGAAATTCTCTCCTGTGCTCAATCGCAGAACCGTTGGGCGCGAGAGAATTTCAAAATTCAGCGCTATTTTTGGTTCCTTTTCATTTTTGCAAAGATGAGGAAGTCTTTCAATTTTTTTTTTTTTTTTCTTTTAACAGGCTCGCGAGTCCGAGCATTATCTGCACCCCTGAGCGCAATGCCTAATACTTAATGATTTTATTTCATTAAGTACTACTATAAAATGTGGAATGTGGCGTGTCTAGAAGGGAAAATTGAGGATGTTTGACTATTCACAAAGAGACTAAATTCACCATCCTTTACTTAATGTGGAAAAAGTTGTGTACATGCGCTGATTTGCCATATTTATCGGCACGCGTTCGCATCGTGCATGACAATATTGTCACGTACACGAACGCGACTCGGAACGAACTCGAACGAAGAACGCGACTCGGTTCAAGGCATTACTGCAAATGTGGCAATATTGAAGGAAGGGGGAGAGGAAATTGTGAATATGCTTAGGAAAAACTTTGATGGCTACCTACGTACAGCAAAAAGTTGTTTTTTGAAAGTTTTCAGGTTCATAGCGGCACACATTAATACCTGCGTCACGCTCCACGTCAATGGAAAATCATGGAGAATGCGATTTCCGGTAACTGCGCATCTGTGCGTATTGTATAATGTAACATTACGGGAGGGGGGGGGTATGTATAGTTACCGAGGTATTGTCACTGACACCGACAAGACGAGATGACAGACAATAATAAGATGAGACACACGCACATGCGACTCACATGAAAATAATTAAAAACATGTGCATATAGATCCAATTTTAGATTACTTGGTGGCGAGGATTCATATCTTATACGTTTTTGCCAAGCAGTCTGAAAATGCAACAGTAGCTCAAAGAGACCACTTTTATGTACTTCGTTATTTTTACTTTCTCGCTCCCATAGGGTAGAGAGGAAGTATTGTCATCCTCCAAGAAAAAAAAAAAAAAAAGTTGAAATTTCATCATTTTTTCTACCTACTTCTAACTACCAACTGCTGCAACTACTATGGAACTAGCTCCATTTTAAGGAAATCCAAATTATGATGGTGGCTGTGTTCCCTCGAATTTGTAGATTTCTTAGGGCTTCAGTCATATTGCGCTTTTCTAAACGTTTTACGCGACAAATGAGGGAGATTCACGGTGTCATTGCAAAAAAAGAAAGAAAAACAGGGGGGGGGGGAGAAAAACGTAATGACATAAAACGAGGTAAATATAATATTTCCATTTTTGTTTTAGATGTGCGAGTCAAATAGAATCCGATGTATACATGCCTGTTTGCGTGAAAGTCCTTTTTGTCAAAATTCAGCTAAACGCAACCTTAAAAGAACATTACACTGGTGACATGGAGGTCCACTAATATTGAATAATAGTTTTTGTGCTTTTACTGGATGAATAAACAAAATATTTAAATTGAAAAAGGAAACTTTGGGTTGATTAAGCAAAAATTCCTGGATGATTTTGTGTGAAATTACACAAATGTTCTCTCATCTCTCCTCTATTTTATTTCATCACAAGAAGAACAAAATCAACATTATTTTTTGGGATTTTCGCAGAGGATTCTTCACATAAGGAAGAAAAAATCATGGAAGCTCTATAGAAATAACATAGAATAATTTTTCGCCGATATTATTGATGTATGACAGAAAGTCTGCAATGCAACAAATGTGGAAACGCAGTTCGGGAATTTCACTGCCGATGTACTAAAGTATTCCACGAAGTAAAGAATAATATAACAGCTCTCTCGTGATGCATAGCCAGATATAGACTTAAAAACTTTTTGTGGTATTGTTTTTTCTTCGAAATATTGCAATAGCGGCTGTTTGCATTCACCATAGGAAGTTTTCCTTTTAAAAAAAAGGGTAAAATAATCTGAGTTGGCAGATGGCAGTTCTGTCTGCTACGAATAGGTACCTTTGAATTGTTTTTATTGGTAACAATGTGACAACAGTGAACAAAATGCCCACACTGGGAAAAAAAGGAGGAAAAATTTTGCTCATCTGTGTTGTAAAGATGGGAAACCATGATATACAATTTCAGTACATGGCTGAGATTCCTGTAACAGGGTTACAAAATGAACGTGTTTTTCAGTATCTCTCTTCTCTTTTCATTTCAAGTGGCTTATGGTAAGATTTCTTTCTTCTGTCAGTAAATTTTTATTTACAGGTCATCAATGTGTTATTCAATCTCTCTTGCAATGTAGCCAATGATAAATGTTTCAGCCTGTAGAAATCCGATCAGAGACAAAAATGTTAAAAAATGTGAGCTTTCTTCATATTTTCTTTCAATTTCTCATACATCATCATCCTGAATCGTTCATTCTAGCCCCGCAACACCTTAAATCCCAGACATTCTTCAAAATATATATCTTTTTCTCTCCGTAAGTATCCCTCCTACAACGTTACAACCTGGTTTATTTTTTAGTGAGAGTATATTTGTATCTTCTTTAATTCTACATATCAATGCCTTAGAGTCCAAAGTCTAACTACATTTTGGTCATTTTGAGATAATAAGTGAGAACCGCCTGTCAGTTCATTGATTCCGATGTAAATCGCAATTTTTGAGACTTCTTATCTTAAACCTGACTAGTGTAAGATAAGGCTACAAAATTTTTCACACAGATGGAACTGTTATTACAATTAGGAATCTCCAATATGCCACCGACTCAATTTTTTCAATGATGTACCTAAGTTAGGTGCTTTTTGGCTCTAGGATACTGATTAAAAGAATCAGATGACACATTTTACTGTGTCAATAGTTGAACTAGATGTTAGGTCAGATAGAAGAAATTTACTGATACATGGAACTTTCATCTTTTTTCTCTTATTTCTTTCCAAAGAAAAGTAACTCGCTCAATAATTTTCTCACTTTAGCATTGAAATTTTTTTCTTTGTGTTGTGATGAGGTCTGGGTATCAATTTTAAAAATACTTGTAGAAACATTTTATGTTTTTCTTTCCCAAACAAATTTTGAATGAAACACTAAATCTGTTTTTGCTCTGGTATCTACTGCAACACATGGGAAAATGGGAACCTTTTTTAATTGTCAATCAAAAATGAAACAGAAGAGGTTTATAACTCATACTCAGAAAAATTAATAAAAACATTCAGGCGCATGGAAACTCCCTGATCCCTTCACCGTACTCTGATGAGGACACAAGTTTATTGATGAGGGGACCTCAAATGCCCATCCTTATTTTTAAGAAGTATTTTTTTTTTTTTAAATTTTTTGCGATTGTTTGTATTTTTCTCAGTTTGTTACCTCACATCGTCTAAATGGTGCAGTTCTGCTTTTTGGCTTTGTAATTATAAATTTATTTTTGTATTCTACAGCAATGCTCGGACACCAAGCTGCAGAAACAGTGTGCCACCCTCAGTGTTTGAAAAAATATGGATATGTGATACTATCTTTCCGCCTGCCAGTTGCACGCGGTTTCATTGATGATGGGAACTGCAAATGTGTTCCATCAAATCGCCTCTTGGAGAGTCCTTTACTTGCAAGATATCCACGGTTTGACGTAGAACAACTAAAGTCAACTTTTGGATGCAGTCCATGGGTAACATGGGGTTATTTGAAGTACTGTGGATTTATGTTCGTATCAAAAGAGGAATTGCTTAAAGAGGAATGTAAAAGCTTAGGTCGTGTTGTAAACTAAATTAACAATAAATTAAAGTTTGAAAATTTTGCAAGCCTGCTGAAACAAAAAAAAATCAATTCCCTTGAAAAGTAAAATTACAGAAAGATGATGCTTCAATAGACAAAGAAGAAGAAAAAATTGATTGACGATAAGTGACATGGAGAATCATTGCTACCAACAATAAGAACTTTCAAAGAAAAACCGAGGTCTCCTAATTTGTGAAAATATTTAAAGACAAACCTATGGGAGACTAACAACCCTACTTGCTGGTGAAGCTCTTATTATTCAGCGATATATTTCACGATAAAAATATTAATACGGACAGGAATAAATGGCACTGAGGTAATCTAGAATCAAAGCAGGTAATCCAGCGCCATCCTTGAGCAAAGCAAAGACTGACCAGATAGAAAATAAACTGCTGCCATATGTTAGCTATTATTTAGCCTTATATTTTCTAGGCATCCAAAATGGGGTCTGTCAAAAAAGCATTGAAGTGACTGGAAAATTGGCAGATTCGTTTTGCTGGAACTTTGTATGATTAAAATTTGGAACATTAAATTGCTGATGAAACCAACAAAACCTCCACAATTAAACCAGTGGGTAAAAAATGTCAGGCTAAAATTCGCCACATTGCTCTTTTTAATACTTATTATTTGGAACTCATTGGGTAAGGTCATAGTCTACTTTCAAAAATGCAAGTGCTTAAATTGTACAGCAGTCGGTAAAGGAAAGATCTGAAAAAACCTGTCTATAAAAGAGCTCATAAACATATATTTTCCTTAGCAAAAATTTTCATAAATATAGTTTACAATTTACAAAATAACAGTAAGAAGAATCTAATTAAAAAACATGATAACATTATGCAGAAAATAAAATAATCACAGTGGCCACACTGAGTAGATATCTCGCACGATTGCAAGAGATGACTCTCAATTCTTTCTTATTCTGAGTTTGATAAAACACCTCAGAGAGAAATAAACAGTATTAGTTTAATCACAATTAGGAGGAGAGGTTTTCGGTTGATGTCATGATGAGTGGGACATACACCCTCCGAGAATTTGACGCAAGCTGCATTTTTAAACCAGAGACAGTATCACAGCATTGCCACTACTACTATTGCAAAGAATAAAGTCAGGATGATGAGCCAGTAACCTGAGACACAGAGAGAGAGTTAAGAGTAATTTTTTAATGATGTCGAAGACTCAACATTTAGATACGAGCATACTAAAAAAACTTTTATAACTTTCCATAAGATGAATTTAGTTGATTGTACCTTTTTATAGAAGCACTCATAGAGATCCTTTCTTCTATATTTACTTCAAGAGACAAAGAGACGGTTGACCTTTCTCATAGTACCTAAAGAGATTTCTCTATTGTAAAAGGCACACTGAATTATTTGAAGGACCCTGCGTAGAGTACCAAACCATTCGACACCAGGTAAATTTTGTTGGTATTTGTTATGACGTTCTTTACTACCTCTTGAGCAAGATGGGCTTTGAAAATCAAACTCTATGAGTCCCTTTTTTGGAGAAAGCAAGGCTAAGAAGTCAAATTTTCAGCATTTCAAAATGCACTACAAGTAGAAAAGCAGGTAATCAAGAAGAGCTTCTCTTTTCTTATGGAATGTATCCGCAGGAAAGGAGGCCCCAGTGCATTAGAGCATATTCTTGGGGAAATTTTTAAAAATTTTGTATCACACTCACCCCAAGTAGAGTCTTTCCTTAGAATAACGCCAATCTGTTCAGTCTCTCTGTGCGAGGATGACGTTGCTCTGTCCATTTTAACAGCTATATCATCAATGACCTCTAAAAAAAAATAAGCATAATAAAAAAGTTAGAATCAGAGAAACTGCTTAGATTATGAAGATATAAAGACCCCCAGCACAAGCAAGAAAAAGAGAAAAAATAAGAAAGAAAGAGAAAAAAGGGTTAGCCAATGATAAGATCAACGATTTCCGTAGAGAGGCATTGCAAGATGAGATGCCCCAAATCAAAATTTTCAAACAAGAATCTTCCTGCTTTTGATCCATCTTTAGAAGAGTTACAAATAATTAAATTGTGTAAATTTCATCAGTGTAACTACAACTCTGTCAAGTAAAGGAATACGAATAAAAATATGACTTTTCTACCTGCCAAGGCTTAATATTTTTTTCAAAGCCTTTTCATGCTATTTTTGATTTAACGAAGACTGCTGAGAAAAACTTCTGCGAGTTTGAGATTATCAGAATAGATGGGTATTTAAACATTGCAGGAGGAAAAAACTTAAAATTCGCAGTCATCTCGGTTGTCTGAATTTGATTTTAATGATATAAAAGTTTTCAAGTGCGCTTTTGAATCATGAAACTTATCAATAGGAGTGTATTTTGCAAAAAGAAACATGGAATATTGCAAGTTGTGCAAATATTAGAATATTGAGAATGCGCTATTTCTTTCACTTCACAGGAAAACCAGTTCTTCACCTAAAAATTCAGACTATTTCTACAAATGAGAGATTCCATGGGAATAGGGTAAAAAGTGTACATCATTGTCATCTGGTAAAGTTTGGTCAAGTATACCATTTTTATTTCAGCTCACAACTGGAATGCATACTTCTGACTTATTTTTTGACTGCCCAATAATGATAAAGGTGTCTGAATTTTTTTACATTTTTTTTTTTTTTTTTTTTTTTGACGGTGGAAGAATGTAATGCATTGAATAAATTTGTTCCTTTACGGGTTTGTTCAGTATTTAGCAAAAAGAAGGATTCGTAAGTCAAGAGTACACTTGGATGTTAAAAAACGTAATGAATCATAATTTTTTTAAGCATGAACTTTCAAAAATGATGCAATGTATAATACTTTCAGAGTATGCAACTCAGTTTTAGTGCACGATTTAATTCGAGTAGACCCTGGTTTTTCATGTGACGGTAATTTCAAATTTCCGTGACCAATGCTGAATAAAAACATTTATATCTTGGTTGGGAGTTACTTTTATTAGTTTTCGTTCAGCAAATCGTGATGTACAAGAAAATTTAAAGAGAAATCATATATTAGAATGCTTAAATTCATACCTTGCTTAGTGGTCCATTATTATTTTACCCAGTCTGTATCAAACATTTCATAGTCAGAAATAAGGTATAAATGCTTGGAAATGTTGTGATGCTCTTGATTTATACTAACAAAATATTCTGACTACTTCAGACAAGGCAAGTTTGCTACCAACACTGAGACCCCCGGAACTCCCAGGTTCAAAACCTGGTGGTAACAGGTTTTTAAGGACACTTGAAAATCCGTAATTGCCGCCATGGATGATCATGACACTAATACCCTGTCTGTGCCTTATAGACGCCCAATAGGGGAGGGACAAGAACATCCGATGGCATTCCATTCCCACTATTCCACCTCTTGGTGATTAAATCACAGATCACTCATAGATTATTTGATTGCCTGCATCACCTGTCAGTCAACTGGGAGGAGGCATGGCCTTTTTTGGTTCCATATGAATTTTCAAAATTCTGAAATTCTCCTTAGTAACCTTTTCAAAAGAATTATTCAGTGACTGCATACAAGTGGCTCATACTTACCATTATGAAGGTCGACCTCTGAATTTATGGATACAACTATCTCTTTCTGCCTGCTGATGACTTTCGATAAATTTTCTAAGCCCTCATCTTGAACTGAAAAAGAGAGAAGTCACAGAGTTTGAGAGGGTATTCTTCACAAGGACAATCTGGTGAAAACGGGTGGATTTGGAACAAATAGATGAAAAATGCAAAAAAGTGGAGGAGAAAGGACAAGAAAGATCCCTGTACCAAACAGGATGGTATTTGACATTTTTGTGACATTTAGGAGAAGTTTCCTGGTTAAAACTGAAGGGTTTCTGTCTCCCTTCACCGAATTTGATAGAGAAAAAAAATCCATTTTTCTCCAGTGATGCTAATTTTCTGGCCTTAGTCAATGCAGACTAGCAAATTAGAATAAAATAGACGGCCTGAATGCAGGGAAACCAGCAATTTTCAGTTTTCGACTGGGATCCCTGATAAATTGCCCCTTTTCTTTTAATTTGTGGTATTCCTACTTCCTGGACTCCGTGCGTCACAGGCAAATGACAAGTGTGAAATGATTTTTTTTTCCCCAACAGTATCTCTAAAAGACCGTGATTCATACGCACATATGAGGACTTATCTGTAACAATAGCGGATACGAAAAATTACCTTTTCGAAACACATTCAAAAAACTGTTTTGGCATCGAGAAAATTTTGAGCAAATACTTGAGATGTGATCTTCAAGATCTGTACATTATGCCAGAGCCAAACATATTAAATTTTTGTGTGAACAAAATAGTTTTTTAAGCAAGTTTCTAAAAGGTAATTTTTCACATCTGCCATTGTTACATATAAGGCCTCATATGTTGAGGATCAATTTTTAAATTCATTTATTTTTAAATGCTTTGGCATTTACTTGTTATTTGATTTGTTGTTATTGAACTTCTAAGTCTTTGGTGAAATGTTGCCCTCTCACAACAAAATTATGATTTAAAAGAATAGGCTAGAATTCTCTATTTTTCTCGATTGGTTCACTTTGCAGATACTTTGATGACTCCTGGAATGTGAATAAGCAATCACCTGAAAAATCTATACGGAGTATTTTAAAAATTACATAGTACTTGCAATATTGCCTATTAAAATAATCAGGGTCAGAGAGATTAGTAAAATTTAAAACAAATTTTAATTTAATCAATATTTACATCCAATATAATGGCATTTTCTGAGCTGTATGTTAAGAACAAAGAAAACTTTGCAACGACCTTGGCACTTGACACGATGCCTGCTTCGTTTTGATGCACATATTAATTTTGGGTAAAATGTACTTACATTTAAAGCACTTCATTTAAGCTTCCAAATATTATTCTATTTTTAAAAGACCTTCACTGGACTCAATTGAAAATTGCAATCAAAACAGAACCTCACCTTCGACTATCCTTCTTTGTTGTGCTCTGAGGTCGTCAATGGTCCACTCACTGCTCTGTGCCAGCAGAGGTCGATTTGGTCGGTCATCGTCATCATCATCTATACCCCATCCAGTCACTCCTCCATCAGCAACCATTTGGTTATTTAGAAGACTACTTCGATCTTGAGAATAAGCAGATGTAACTGGTTTTGCTCTGAAAATTTAAGGGGAGCGTTAACATTGAGACAAACAAACATTAAGATTGTGAGATTTTGGAATCAAGAGGTGAGATTTCTGGATCAACTAATCAAGGGTTGTTCATTTGATGAAATGAAGAGACAGTAAGCTTTCATTTTTCCAACTGTCATTTAAGGTGACAATTTTTTACATAAACTTAGTATTTTTTCTGTACATCACTTGATCAATATACTGCAGAGATGTGAAAGCTGCCTCAAGAAATGTGAAAGCATGGAGCATTCAGAGCCACTCTTTTTGTCTCTGTTTTCTTTTCACCTCATGGTTTAAATTTAGATCCCTTTTCATGTGTTATTTTCAATTCTTAGTTTAAAATAATATTAGGTGCAAAGAGTCTTCAGCACAAAATGCTAGTTCTAAATTACATGATTATGATAGTCAGGCAATGTGCAGGGCAGGGAAAAAATAAAGTACCGATATCATAGCTTAGAGCGATTCATTTTACAATATTTAGTGCATGAAAACCCCGAAGTTTGCTAGCGCTGTTGCCAATCTTCAGAACAATTCACTTCAAACGCTTGTGACATCATTGAAAATGAAACTTATGGCCTAAAACTTCGGCATAATGATTTCGAGAGTATCAAAAGTGTTTGGTAACTGAAAATGAAATCAGTATTTTTGGCTGCAAACCAGTTGTGCTGAACAGTTTGAGTTTCCACGTTCAGGTGATTTGTTCATGGTTCTAAGCGTAGTTGAATTGGTGTGCAATGTATTCCATTGATTAAGTCAAAAGTCTTCGTAGACTTCGATTTATAGCCAAACAGAGGACAATAGCCCCTGCGAATGAATCTAAAAGCTCATTCTCAACAAGAAAACTTGCAAAACTTAGAGAAATGGGGGCCTTCAGTTGCCCAATAACCTCTGGGAAGATAGGCATATGTGGCGTTTGGGTGCCGCAGAACGCCAGAGTGCGTTGTAGAGCGACTTTATATATATACATAGGGGCTACCAACCTTTGTTGGTTAAAAAATCAAAATCAGCCAAGATTTGTGACTTAATCGATGTGATGTAGGTATCACAAACTATTTCGACGATGCTAAGAACCAGGGACAAATCACCTTAAGCTACATTTTGGCGCATTTTATCCCCATTATTGTTGATGAGAAAGAATTACCGATGATTGAAGCGTTCCACCATTTGAATATGCTTGCTTTTCAGGTTTTCGATCAGCCTCAATCTCCTTTCATACTCTTGCGAAGTTCTACAGATCAATTAAGGAATTTATACAACATGAATTATAAAATGAAAATAGGTTTTTATACCGGGTAAAAAGACTGCGGAGTAAAAGCGAGAGATAACTTCAAAAATATATGCTTCAAGATTTAACTGCTGACTTACTCAAGAATTTTATCATATTGTTATATCATGAAAATCATCTTTTCACTCTATTCACATAAAGTGGGGTGACTAATATTGAATTCATGGGGTCCACGTCATACAAGTTTACGTGCTTTCAGACTGCGACAGAAAGTCCGCCATCTTGGTGCTTGCATTTATTTTCAATGCTAAACTGACATCACACGATTTTCTGTCACAGACTGACAGTGCAAATACTCATTTGGTGTGGACTCTAAATGGGTTAAATACTACCTCATTTCCATTGTCGGCTACATCACAAGGGTGATTTCATGATAACAGGAATAGCTAAAATGTGCAACACCATAAAAATAAAAGTGCACCAATTTCGAACAAATTTCATTACTTTATTTTAAAGGTATTAAACTTCCTTTTTCCAGCTGTGGCACGAACTATTTTGATTCAGTACAAAGTTATAGTAATTGACAAACAAGCCGTAGTTTAATTTTATTGAATTAAGGATTTTGTGTAGTGCATAATTAGTGCTACAGACCTAAAAATCACGGGTTTAAATAAAAATTAAAGTTATCAGCGTAGAAAAAGCCGACTTATTAGTGATGGTTTGGTCGAGAAGACTTCAGCGAACAATTTGATGACAGTTTTGAAACTCCTGGTTTCATCTGGCATGAGAAACACTGCACTTAATACAACTGCAAAAATACATTGCCAAATGTGGCAACATTCTTTCTAATGATTTTTTTCGCTTAAACATAAACATCTTAGCTCAATATGGCAATTTTCTTGAACATTAGAGTCTCCTTTTGGCAACTATTGCCAAAGAATCCATTATCAGTACTGATTTATTAATGCAAATTGCTCTTTTACTTCAAAATCGGGGTTGGTGACGCGTAACCGACCGGACATTTTTGGCCTTTAAAGTCTTATATTATTAAATGCAATCATAATTTATCATATTTATTAGCATGGATAAGTTCAAGGACATCATTTTTGTTGATTTAACAACTTGATTTTCAATTGTTCTGCCTTAAGTCGTTTGTAACCCATGGCTACATGACTATTCCTTTTATCGTGAAATTACCCACGAAAGGTGGCAGGAGAGAGGAGTAGCCTGAAACTAGCTTGCGGTATTATTTAAGAGTTGAAGCATAGGCAGGCTCATTTGAAAGACCCAAGCTTGCCACAACCAATCAACGCACGAGCGACAGACTGAGCTGCTCTGTCCTTCACCCGCAACTGTTCAAAGCATGCCTATTTTTAACTTGAGTCAATTACATTGGCATCAAAATCAAACACCCATTTTTTATATTATCATTGTTTCTATGTGTACATCCATGATCAGTGTACTCTCAAAACATCAAACTTTCTTTTTAGTTGTAGAACATTAATAAAATACCCATCAATGTACTACAATGAAACAAATAAAGGATACATAGGTTTTGAGGCATTGGCTAACTCCAGCTTCTGTTTTAATTCATCAACTTCAGCGGCAAACTGCTTCAATCGGAGTCTGATAGAGGCTGACATTCGAGCATAGTTTTCCGAGTCCCGTGTCTCAAGGGTTCGCAAGTGCAATTGTTCTGAAATGGTCTGATGGAATCGTTCACAGGTCGCATGCTCATTTAGCCTGATGGAAAGAGAGTAACAAATTGGTAATGTTTCATAAAAGTGATACAAATATATTTTCCTTAAGATTTCAAAAACACTTGAAAAACAGGTTTCATTGGTGGTCTAACTTTATTACTGAGATGTACGTGGTGCACTCTTGATGGAGAGGAGGAGTCTATTGTTTAGTTCCAATTCTAATAACTTGCAGATTTACTTTGCCTCCTCTAGTTGAATTTTCGCCTGAAATACATGCAATTTCATATTTTGGTATACTAGACTGGCAAGTATTAAAGTGATTCGTCAAGCTCAAGTGACGTGGTCAAACTGGCATGCAATATATCGCATCTTTTAGGTAAAAAATCTCGGCAGATTTTGAATTTTCAGCAAAAAAAAGGACGATAGCCCCTGCGCATGAGCTTAAAGAATCATTCTAAACCCAAAAATGGGAAAAATTCAGAGAAATGAAAGCAGAATAGTGATTGGACAAAAACCTCGCATTCAACACAGCTATCGATTTCTATATCGAATGCGAGGTTCTTTTCCAAACACTATTCTGCTTTCATTTCTCTAAATTTTTCCGATTTTTGGGTTTAGAATGATTCTTTAGGCTCATGCACAGGGGCTATAGTCCTTTTCTTTGCTAAAAATTCAAAATCTGCCGAGATTTTTGACCTAAAAGATGTCATATATCGCATGCCAATTCGACCACTTCTTTTGAGCTTGAGGAATCACCTTAAATTTGATTTTAAAAAAAAAAAAAAAAAAACTTTCATAAATAGGTAGGTTCTAGGACATGACAAAGGTGATGAATAATGTAGGTTTGTGATCACAACCATGGTAGCAGATCTAGACCAGATAGGCTCACAGCTTTTTCTTAATTGGACATACTTTTGCTAAAAGGAACTATGTGCAAGTGGAAAGATGGGGAGTGCTCTTGCAAGCTGCATAAGAAACAATGTAAAAGGGGATATAGTTTCTTTTGAGAAAATGGAAAAGCAGGATTTGACATTAAATCAAAAGGAACTGAGCGCTAACTCCTAAGCCGAAGACATGTGACGAGAGCGTTATGGACAGGGCTGTATGAGTTAATGCCGTGAAAGAACAACAACTGAGACGGCTTCGTTACCGCTGACATCACTTGCGCTTTGAAATCCCCATTCATTCTTACAGCCCTCAACTAACGAGCACACCCCCTCTTTCCACTTGCACATTGTTCCATTTGGCATAAATACATCCACTTGTTTTCATGCTTGGTCCAAATTTAGACTAAACACAACTTTTGTTTACATTCAACTACCAAGGGCTATAAGAAGTTAAACTGATTGGCACATGGAGGCATTGGCATTTGTCAAGTCTCTCTTCTAACGTGTGAAAGCATTCCATTCCTCAGCTCTGCGCTGTAGCTTTTGGGCAGGCAAAAGAAGGACTAGCTTGGCCTTTGACTTATGACTTTACAGTATCTAAGCTGCGTTGTCGAAGTCAACTGTTGAGGAGCGTTGGGCAATGGAATTACCCGATGCCCAACGCTCGGCGTTGTTCGACTTCCGTTGGGATTGCCCGATGTCCTGGACTGTTTACCAAACGGAAGTCAACAAGTCATCGGTCTCAGGAGGTAGTTGAGAGCGTTGAGCTAACCTCTAAATGACATTGTGCACGCGGTGTCACATTCAAAACACAACAATTTTTAGTCAACAGAGACGACCAACAACGCGTTTTCCAACGGGTAAGTCAACTGTCACGTGATATCCGTTAGCGTTGAGAAGCCCAACGCAAACGGAAAGTTGACTTCGACAACGCACCTCTAGTGAGTAATAAAAAATCGCTTTGTAAACAATAACCTGCATGCATGAATAAGAGAGACATACGTACCAAGGGTCATTGTCTATATTAAGTAAAGCCATGATTCTGATGGATGCACTCAGTGACTTAAAGTTGACTGAAACGCTTAGGCGCAAGACCGTCAAAAATTACAGAATGTCTTCGGAGACAATACCGTTTCTTTTCCAAAGATGTAAACCATGAGTTTGGGGCCTGAGTCCTGCTGATATGCTGTCATGTATGTAGGAGTGAGGAAACAAAGGATCTGAATGATGATGACTTTGAAAGACTTTCAATTTTTAAGGATTGACGACAATTTGGTTCAATCATGGTTTGATTCACTGATTAATTGATAAGAGCTGTGGGAGGCAGTATGTTTACTTAGCCAGAGGTGATAACAGATTTTAAAAATGTGGTTTGTACTGAGTCGAAGTTTACTGAATAAATAGATGAAAGAAGGCAAGGAGGAAAAAAACACATATTACACGAGTAAAATCACAAATAAGCTACAAAGAGATAACATGCGGGCCATGCCATCAGTAAATTTTGGTTCTCACTCTCATCAGTGATCACAGAGATAACTTTTTGTCTCTGATCGCGTGAGTGCGTAAGTGATCGAATATCGATATTTCCCCGTTAGAAGCTATGGTAAAGAATCGATAGTAGTTACAAGTCGTTCGTTGCGAATACTCTATCTATCGATCTTTTTATATAGGTTCCAATAGCATATCAATCGATAGATCGCTATGCACGCCACGCCATAACGAAGAACGGAGTAAATATTCTGTGTCTCGATATTGCATCATAAGAATAAGAATTAAAGAATAAAGACGTTCGGAAGTTCAAAGCCAAAATTATTGCAGCATATCGTGTCGAAAGTTTCATTTCAATTAAGATCACCTATTTATCATCTACTAAGTTGTAAGTATTTGAATTTTACTTCAATTTCTGACAACGAATGTAATGTAAGCGCTTGAAGGTGCTAGGATCAATATCATTTGTGACAGAAACTCTCGTACTTGTTCATAAATCCACCTAACCAATCTAATGCTTTTATTCATTTACATTTTATGATGTATTTTAAATCGTCCCCAATAAACCAGTCATGAAACTGTCCCGTGGAACCCAACTAAAGTGACAGTGGCGGTTATACCTAGCGTTACTTACCTTTCCGGAAACTCATAGAACAACGTACATTATCTTCAATCAAATCCTCTTATTTTTAGAATATTTCACCTTCTTTTGTAACTGTTATATAATGTACCAAAATTTTCACAACATAAGAATTAATAATATGAAACTGACACATGCTCTCCAGAACGCATAGCCATTTATTTTTCACAAGAGGTCGCAAAAAAATTTGCTCAACTTAAGTATTCACAAGTCTCTTACATGCCAGTCACAAGTGTATAATTTCATGCATACACATTCATCCTGGGTGTCTCTGTCATTAACTTACTAATTGACTAATCTCCGAGAAGTGTTAGCTTCCAATGAGTTTATCGTCACCTTCCACCCAAAGTATCACTATCGCACTATCGCCACTTTACCAACTTTTCAGAAGACTTGAAAAACTGATTTGCGACTGCATAAGACCAAGTTTCGGCTTGAAACTTGGAATACTGATCCAGCACAACTTCCTGTCTTGAATTTCAATATTTTGGTATGTTAATGCATCTTGTTCATTCGAAACTATTCCTAACTCAATTTCGGTAAAAATGGTGCTTATGATACTTCGGCCGGAAAGTGATGTTATGGTAATGTTTGAAAAAATGGTTGTAAGGAAAATTGTTTTTTTTTTTGTTTTTTCCCCCTCACAAGAAGCAAGTAAAATAAAAATAGACCCTAAAGTTGTTAGGCAAGCAGTAAATGCAGTTCCCGTCAATCGACGCTGAATATGGGGCTCTTCAGCAATTTTCAACTCGATTCTCTTTGTTTAGCTAAAACTAATTCTCAATTGTTATGTCAATTTTTTGTTTGGCGGTTCAGGCTGAATAAATTCTAATCAAGATGCTGGCGGCACGCCTTGCCAGAGTATCCTCTTTGCCAGTCACACAACTGATCATTCCCCAGATCAGGGGCTCAGTTATCTTAAAAACTGGCAATTCTGCAAATCTTTCCATCTCACGTTGCTATGTCCAGCAATTCAAGGACAGGACGACCAGACTCGGTCGGCTGAACAAAACTGTCATTGGCACCGAAGCTTCTGCTGCACCTGAAGCAGGTAAGAATTTCTCTTTGTCAGAGAGCAGAATGCATTCATCAAGTATATTGAGAGTGTTTCATCCCAAATTTTAGCAGGATAATCATGATAAGCTTTCTCTAATAATAATCGAGAATTCGAGAAAGTATCGGAAAATTGAAAATGAATGCTGGACAGTTTGAACAATTTTAACTTGGTATCCGGAATCCTGTCTGTAAAGTATCTACATTCTCTGCTTTTACAGGAAATAGAACCTACCTCTTCTACTTTTAGTTCTTTTAAAATGTTCGTTTCAATTGTGAATATATTTCTTGCGACTGTTTCCATAGAAGCTCCTCTCCTTTTCAAAGCGTTGCTGAAATTCACCCATTCAAACTAAGAGGAAAAGATGTTAATGGCTCTTAACCACAAGAAGGTTCTCAAAAGAATTCTTGATGTTAGGTCAAAACGGTTGCATAAGCGACTGTTCATAACCGTGAAGTATCTCATTACTTTATTTGGAATGCAATGGAAATATGATTCAAAAATTCTGTTTCAACCGTCTGTTCACTGCAAATTCGTACGCATCCATTTTAAAACACGTTCATAGTCACCCTGGCTCATTTTGCAGCAAAAAATCTGCACTTGCAAACAGCAGCATTCGATGTTCATTGGCTCTCAAATATATTTCCAGGAGGAGAAGGTTCGAAAAAGCTCAGCTCTTTGAACTACTCATAGTGTTACCGGTACCCTCTGTCTAGTAGAAAAATTTGTTCATAACTGCTCAAATTATTATGATACTTAAAAAGACAATATGTTTTTTATTCCAGCATTCAACCTCGGTAAAGGTGCAGTGGCAGGTGGGGCTGTTCTAGGGCTGGGAGCCCTCTGCTATTATGGACTGGGTCTATCGTCTCAGCCAGGAATTCTGGAAAACTCAATGTAAGTTCTACTCAGTGCATCTTATTCTAAGGAATCATAAAGAGAAGGCAGGAAATATAAAGTATGCACCCAAACTGATTGCAGTAAACGCATAGGTCATAAGACAATGATGGAGTTTTTTAGCCATCGTGCGTGAAGAGTTCAGCTTATAGCTGATATCTTATTACAGAGGGAAAAAGCTCACACACAAGCACAATTTTCCCTCAAAGAGATACGCTATTCGGAGCAACACTAGTTACGTTCATTCAGGAAGGCAACTGCAGACGCGTTTCGGCCTTGTTGGGCCAACCCTCAGTGCAGTGCAGCCTCCTGAATTTTCTGCCACCAAGCTTGAGAGGGCATGAAAATCCTTTGATGAAAAACCTTTCGTTTTCATGCCCTCTCGAGCTTGGTAGCAGAAAATTCAGGAGGATACCATGCGTACCTATCAAAAAGTGCAGCAAAATATATTGAAGAAATCCTGGGGAAACATAACATTTTACTTCTGTTACACAAACTGATTGCGGTGGAAGCACGGGTCGTTAGTATGTTGGAATTTTTTCCGCTAGCAGAAAAAATTCCAACATTTTACTTCTGTTGTTCGATGATCTTGCTGAGGTTGCTCTCAGATCGAATTTTGAATAGTTTGAATAATTTTTTCCAAGGGATTCTCGCAGTTCTTCGTTGTTTTGACTTTCACTCAGTATTTCAAGCAGCTTTTCCTTCAGTGTTATTTGGGAGAGCCTTTTTATTCTTCCATGTTTGACTCTTGATAGCGAGGATCTTTAGGGTGCTATGACTCTTGCAAGGTACTCTGACTGTTATTACCTTCTCCCTGAAATCTGTCTTGCCTTTGCTCGGTATTTTCCGTGATGCATAGTATTTCATTGTAGCCTTCCTGGTCTTCCGGAGTTATCATTATTATTATACGTAGATACTAAACTTTGTTTTTAGAATATGCACTATAATTTTCCTTTAAATTTTTGACTATCAATACCATGAATAATGTAATGCTTTAATTTTACTTCATCATGACTATTCGAGGTTCTTTTTTGGACATTGTTGATAACACTGTGTTGTGAGCATTTTTCTACTATGGCTGTGTTTTTCTTCAGGGTATGGCCAGAATATGTTAAAGAGCGAATTCGATCGACATACATGTACTTTGGTGGCTCTGTGGCTCTAACAGCTGCAACTGCTTTGTCAGTTTTCCGTTCACCCACGATGCTCAGGATGGTGTCTGGAAATTCAATCATGGTAAGTGCTACATGCCTATCTCCAGTGCATCATACAGGGTGATCAAAAAGTCCTGCACCACCAGCACTAGGCAGAAGGGATTCAACATTTCAATATTGCTCTCAGGAAGTGACTTTTGGAAGCCGTTAAAATTTTAAGGGAATCGTCCTGAAATAGGAAAAAACCCTACGAATTCTAGGGACGGTACAGAACTTTTAGATCATCCTGTATGGCATGAAAAAAGATACAGAAATTCCTCCATTTTGATAATAAAATATTTTTTCGAAGACTTCCTTGTGTTGGGTTGTTAGGTCAATTTAGGTTAAACGAAATCATTAAATTTACCATGTTTGCAGAGTCAAATTGGACTCCAAATTTTTGATAAAAAGCTAGTCTACAAGTTTCTAACTCACATGGGAAATTTCCCAAGCTGCCGCCTCCAATGGGGCTGAAAAAATTGGCACAAGCTCTTCGGATGAATCTATCAGGACTGTGTTTTTATGTTTTTTCCTATATGCCCTGGAAAAAACTTCCCAAGCTGCCGCCTCCAATGGGGCTAAAAAAATCTCTCAGGAAGAGAGTGTCAAGCCAGCTTCAGAGGGTGAAACCAAGTGGTTATGTCCTTATTTTAGTCTTCTTTTGTTGGTTAAACCATGCTGAATATAATTCTTAGTTTTTTTTTTCTTTTCTTTTTTTTCAGGCAATTGGAGCCTCTCTAGTTGCAATGATTGGAAGTGGAATGCTAGTTCAAAGTCTGCCTTATGAGCCTGGTTTTGGAAAGAAGCAACTTGCATGGATGGCCCATACGGCAATCCTTGGAGCAGTAATCGCACCAATTTGTCTCCTTGGTGGCCCTATCCTGATGAGAGCCTCCTGGTAACTTGATCCTACTTTTTTAGTCCAGTAAAAAAAAAAAAAAATCATGTGATTCCCTAAATATGTGGTTCAAATGTTTAAGTGTTGCGCCACTGTTATCCTGTATACTCTTAAAATTAGAGATGCAGGATTAGCACCTGTTTTATGTGGCTTAAAATTTCAAGACTTTCATCTCTTGTTTCATTGGTATGAGTGGGGGAAGGCCTCCGTAGTCCAAATCTTTGGGTACATCAATATTTTCTCATGTGCATCTCCTGTAAAACCTTTCTATGTTTTTTGGCTTGCTTACCTTGCATGAGAATCATTCTTGTGCAAAGTGCAGGAACTTGACATTTATCACTTTCATATTTACTGTAAAACTAAGTAAGACAGCCAATATTTTCTTGATTTTATTTCTAACTGTCCTTGTTTGCAAACTATTTCATTTGAAAGAAAATCAAGCAAACAAACAACCACAAGAAAAAAGAAAGATTAGTGCCTCTTTACTAGCCCTTATTAACTGAGTCATTTCTATTCCTCCTCTTGACCTTTTTTCAGTTACTGTGAGTGTTGAACATTTTTGTAAAATAATTTGTTTATAATGGAATAGCTCAGTATTTTTCATGACAACATACAGGAATTTTGAAATTATTTTTCAGCTACAGACAGAATACTTGCTGTCCTCCCGAAAGAGGGAATGTATCTTCTCTGCGCTTTTTTAGTACAACATTTCATTTTTTCATGGAAGAAACATCGATCAATAGTGTGAAAATCTTTTCTTACCAGGGTAAAGAAAAAAAAACTTGAAATTTCAGGAAATTTCATATGAGGGCATTTTCATCAAATCAAATTTAAGTCGGATATACTGAAACAATGCAATAAAAAAACGTTCGTTTGTATGAAAGATGATGTATCAAGCCCCACTTTAAAATCTAAGTTTTGCCCCCTTTGCTCACAATTTGCAAAATAAAAAATTAGCAGGTAGCAATTGCCTGCTATAAGATTATTTCACGATATTAGATTTAGAATTGACAGCCACCTTTTGAAAACAATCAATAATGTCAAAACCTAAATTAAATAAAAATTTTCCTCTCAAATTTTAGGTACACCGCTGGAGTTGTTGGAGGTCTGTCCACTGTCGCTGCTTGTGCTCCAAGTGATCGGTTCTTAAATATGGGTGGTCCATTGGCCATTGGCTTAGGAGTAGTTTTCGCTTCATCTCTAGGTAAGAATTATTTTAGTCAGCTCACTTACCTGTGAGTGCAAGCGGATAACCTGCATCAATTTTCTGATTTTACAGAACCAAACATTTCAGCGCAGATCATTTGCCAGAATTTCTTTTCGCAACAGAAAATAATCAGGAATAACCTCACCAACTTAAAACCCACAGTAATTACCTCGTGTAGAACTTTCTTCTTCTTCTTCTATTACTCGAAAGAAAACTGTATAAAGGTGGTATTTGTCCAGGAAAAATGATGTACAGCAACTCCTCTTTGGAGGGAGATCAAAGCATAATTCATGCAATTATAATTAAATGTAAGAAATCCCATTGCTATGTTCCTTTTGCTGATTTCAGGTTCAATGTTCCTTCCCCCAACTGGAGCGCTAGGAGCTGGTCTATATTCCATCTCTTTGTACGGTGGACTGCTGCTCTTCTCAGGCTTCCTTCTCTATGATACTCAAAGGATTGTGCGCAAAGCAGAAACCCATTCCCCATACGCTCCTGTTCCATATGACCCAATCAATGCGTAAGTACTCAATGTTTCCTACATTTTTTCCAAAATCCAGGAGGAAAAATGACAGTAAAAACTTTTACAGAAGAAGTGTACATTTCCTTAGTTGCAATTAATACTTGCATTACATAACTTTGCAAAATCTGTGCACCGAGGGCTGTATCATTTCCACCTATTACTTTGAATGAGCAAACCGTACAAGATACATAACTCTGGTGCAAGTAACTTACCCAAAAATCCAGAATGGTGCAGTGTTAAGGAATTTTTGCCGGATTTTTGAGGCAGGTTGTGTGTGTGAGGGGGGGGGGGTTAAAATTCCATGAGAAGATAAATAAATTCATCAGGGTGTCGACAAGTCGGAAATAGCACTGATTTTATCAGGGAAGTACTGAAAAAGTGCGGAAATTCCGCACAAAGGTCCGAAATTTTACTCACTTCTGTCATTTTATCGCAATTTGAGCCAGAAATTAAAAATTTTGAAATTTTTCGAATCTCCTCAAATGGATGTACTGAAAAAGCACTGAATTTCTTGGGAATGTACTGAAAAATAAGTACTGATTTTTGGCCAGCCTGTTTTAGTAGACATCCTGTTCATTAAAAAGCTCAAAAAATCTTTCCCAAGAAAAGAAAAGAAGCAATCAAAATCAGACCATCTGAAGTCGACAGCCGAATTGACACGGTAAAGCGATGAAAGTTCAGATAAGTGCAGCCAGTTTCAGCCCGAAGATAAGTTCAGCCAATCAGCAAACGCTGTGTCTTTCCCCTTGCCACGTCATCAGGGACCGCCAAAAATATAATTTCCATTCTCATTTTGCATTCTCTTTGCCCTTTTTGTGTTTAAAAAAATAAGAATAAATTCCTAGAAGCTTAGTTCACTTTGAACTTTTAGAAAAAAATTTTAAAAATAGTGTATTTCCTTCGGAAAATACACTAAAAAACGGGTACTTCTGACCCACTTTTCATATTTCATACAAATGAATTTTAGATAGTTGTTTTGGAGATGTCTATTAGTTATCCTCAGCTCTTGTTTTACCATACCAAACGAATTTTAATGTTTTAGACAAGACTGAAAAGTGTAATTGAATTATTCATAGGAAAAGTTTGTTTGTTTAAGATTGTGTATGGTATGCTCACCTCTTTATTTTTAAGTCACAATTGACTCAAGCTCACAAAAATTTCCAAGAATAATGATGTTGCAAAAAATCCATTGTGTCTTGCACAACAATTATGTAAAATGCTTCGTAATAGGCATGTATTCCATTATGTTCAAATAGGTGCACTGCTGACAAATACTCTTGTCTATTTCTTTTCCTTTTTTCCTCTCATCTCGTAATTAATCTTAAATTTGTCTCCTTCTTTTGCAGATCTATCTCTATCTACCTAGACACAGTTAACATCTTTATCAGAATTGCAACTATCCTCGCTGGAGGTGGTGGTAACAGACGTCGCTAAGCAAACAAATCTTACAACTGAAAAATAATGAATAGCCAAAGCACACTCTGTATTAGTCCCTCAATTTCTTACTGATCGAAAACAATGATTTTATAAGTAGTCATTTCTATCCATACACAATTTAATTACTTTATCGAAGGTTCAGATCCTATCACTCTGATATGTTTCTTCTTGGCAAATCACTACAGCCTTTGTAAGTTTTACCGACTGAATTTTAAATTTAATGTTGAAATTTTTGTGTATTCAATTTCTGTTGAAAGAATAAATTTTTCATCTCTGTTTAAATAAGCATGGTTGTTGATTTTCTTACCTAGGTACATGCCTGGATTATTTTAAAATCAAGATTTCCCTCTTACTTTTAAGTAAGGATTATCATCTCATCCAAAAAATTGCATAATCACATAACATTTTTTTTACTTTTAAATCGCCAATATTTTTCAAGCTCACAACGAAAATTGATCTCGGCTCTTTTTCTAGCAGAATGACAAATTGTAAGACGCACTGGAATCAGACAATCTAAGCCTTGCTGTTAACTGTGTTAAGTGCAAAGTGCAGCCGGAACGGCTGGAGGGGAAGAAAAAAAAAAAAAAAAAAAAAAAAACTGATTTTTCTGAAGGCTCTGTACTTACAATTTTGATAGAATATTTAGATATGTATCGAGTTTCAGGTAAACTTGTCTTGTAATTGTTGTCTGTTGAACAAAAATCCAACCGAATGTCAATCTCCCTTTAGCTTCTTGAACGGTCTAACAATGATCCTACATTTTTGGGTAGGATTTTGTTCGGTGACGAAACTTAAGTGTACGGATACGATTTGGAGATGAAACTCCAATCATCCTTGTGGGTACAAAAAGGTAGTGCAAGACGGAAAAAAGAGAGACAAATTTGGTCAAACATAAAAAATCGCAGAACAGCCATAAGGCTGCCTTACCTTAAGCCATGTACCAATTAAGCTAATTAAGATTTTTCAAATTTGTGAATGTAGCGTTTTTAAGTATATTTTCAGCTATCAGGAGAGTCCAAGAAAACCTAATTTGGACACATTGTGGGCTACTTATCACCAAAATCTGGTTTTTGATTGAACAGACCTCGTAAGCTCTTAAAAAATGAAATTTTGTACCTCAATCAGTTTTTTAGAAAGAATTACATGATTGTACTCTCAATGACTTCTCCAGAAGGACTGAGTGTATAATATAACAATAACTGAACTAAGAAGCCACATTTTTCAATTGAGGTGTCTCAAACTTTAACTTTTTCTAAAGGAAATTACCTAGTCAACTTTATCTCTTGATTACCTACAACATTTTTTTCAAACAGGAAGAAAGACTCAAAGAAAGTTTCAATGTACCTATTTCGTCGTTTAGTTCCTCAATTAAAAAAATAAGTATGTCAGAAGTCTGCGTTTGTTGCGAAATAAGTTGTTAATTCTGAGTTCAGCCACCAACATGTGATGCCAAGATTTTAAAATGAAGGAAAAGCATTTCAAGCATCAGTGAAACTGAATGCGCAGGTGTAGAAATTCATTGGTACACTTTACTAAGATCATGAGGTGTACCATAGGTACATTCTGTCTGAATACCTACCCTGCTGACCTCCCAGGAGGAATGGATGAGCATTACCTGAAGGTCTGAAACTAATGGTTCAATTGGTCTTTTTCATCTCCATGAGATTTGGTCCCTTTATATATGTTTCAAAAGCCCAATTCACACTATCAAACTTTTCATTCAACTCTTAAATGCAACTTGTCGTAATGAAAAGTTGGATAGTGTGATACTGACGCGAGAAAATGACAATTTTTTGATGAACAATTGAACGGAAACTTGAATGTGACGTCACATTCAACTCTCCGTTCCGTCCATTAGCGGCGTCAATTGGATGGAAAGTTAACGGAGAGTAATTGAATCAAATTTGTTTGCATTCAACTTTCCATCCAACTTTTCGTTCAGATGAAAAGTTAGATAATGTGAATTGGGCTTACAATTAATCATACTTGCAAAATGGGCAATGTGGTTTGTCCCAACAGGATGGATGTAATAATACCCTTTTTTCCCTAAGTGTGATATTTCCGTCAGTATTGAACCGAACAAATCTTTAGGCTAGGGATGACGAGGAAGGAAGCATAAATTCATGACTGCAAAAATTGCTTTAATTTCAGTCGTTGCAAAGGAATGGTGCCTGGCCATATAAAATTCGTCCTTGAATTTAAAATTCGCGCCAAAATTTTATTCAACAGCCACATCAATGCTCAACGTTGAGCTGTTTTGAAGAATTTGGGACGGCCTGTGCTGTCGCTCCAGTCGCTGTCACTTATCATTTATCTAGCCCGAGCCCGAATTAATTTCGATAACTTTGTCAAGTGCAGATGTTCGTGTAATAAATCCATTAAGTATTCATTTGTAATTGTTATAATTTCTCGCTCGCGAACAACGTCTTGTCGTCAAGAAATGTTTTGCAGCTATTACGCAGCGGCTTTTTCCGTCCCAGTGATGATGCCCCAGTATCAGCATCTCAGGTCGTAGTTTTCAAACGATGATATTCGCCGAAAATAGTATTTAATTAAAATTTCATTTCCCTCTGTTTTCTCCCACTAATCGTCGCAATGAGTTCGGCTCCAAGTGGTTTCAGTAAGTTGAAGAAGAAGCATTTTCGCGTCAAACATCAGAAGGTGAAGCTATTCCGTGCCAATGAACCCATTTTATCTGTTTTTATGTGGGGTGTAAATCATACAGTAAGTACTCCACACAAATTGTGTCTTAAATATTATATACTTCTTACATTCTCCTCTATACAGCAATCCGTGTCTCCATGATTCTCACTCAAAGCTCACTGACTCAAAAGGATATCTGTCCTTCTTTGTCGCGATTGAAGCTGTGATAGGTAGTCCCGATTATCTGACTCCGTCAGCTGAAAAGTATTCTGTGAAGGAAGAAGCCACAGTGTGTTTGAATGCGAGCCTTATTTGCAACCTTAATTTTCTGCGTACCCAATGTTTCATTGATGTGATGCGATGCAGCCTATTTGCCTCGACTCTACCCTCTCTGTGAGAGCACTAATTTTGTAGTGCTTATCACATTGTTCATACACATTTAAGAAAGCCTGACACTTTTACCCAATTCTTCAAAATCTTCTTTATTTATTGACTTGAGTTTAGCTAATAAGAACACGTAATGGTATTGTGTCAAGTTTCCCTTAATAATGCACCTGAATTTCTCATACCTACCTTATTACAGAACCACGTCATATTTTGTATTTTCCTTCAGTATTTCAGCCTTTGTTTTAGAGCGGCTGAAATCCATGTCAACAGGTAGTCTGTCACATTAAGACGCTTGTGCCTGTTCTGATGCAGGTTTGCTTTTTCCTGTCACCCACTGTCAAGAGTAGCTTTTTCTGGTTTATTGTTTTGTCTTATATCTTGAATGATCTGTACACAAAGTATATCATCCTTTTGATTTTTCCAGATAAATGAACTAAGTCATGTGACAATACCAGTAATGTTGCTTCCCGATGATTTCAAATCATACTCCAAGCTAAAAGTTGACAACCATCTATTTAACAAGTAAGTTTTGTGTTCATTTTTGTTCTATCATTTTCTGAAATTTTACTTTCTAAGTCAATAGTTGGTAATAAGGGAGAAAAAAAGCACCAAGAAATGTGGCCCGAACTGTATGTAACAAGGTGGTAAAATAGTGTTGATTCCTCACCATTTTGCAGAGGAAACAAAGCCAAAAAGTTCACAAATTTCAATTAGAGTGAGCTCTAATAAGTACCAGTACAAGACTGAAGGGGAAGAGTGTCGCTGTTGTCTTGGATTTTGCAGGATGCTAAGTTGGGCTCTCTGACCAGAGTGATCCACTGATTAGATCTAAAAAGATCCAAAACGTGATGGATCTCTTTGTGTGACCTCAACTTAATATTCCAATGCAAGCTGCCTCCCAAGCCTGAACGCTCTCCCCTCCCCCCCAGTATTGTACTGGTACTCATTAAAGCTCAAAATAATTGACTCTAATTGAAATTTGTGAACTTTTTGACTTTTTTTTCTCCGCCAAATAGTGTGGACCCATACTAACACAATAGTGCCAATAGTGCTGGCACTATTTTACCGCCTTGTTAGCAATAAGTTAGCATCTTCTTTTCAGCTGATCAGGCATTGGTTGCGAAAGTGAAGATAATCTGAAACTAATATCTTCTTTAGAAAAATAATCATGAAGCTAAAGCAATCCATGTCTTGAAGGCATTAAGCTAAAAAATAGAAAATAGGATGATTTGTTCCAAGAAAAGGGGGCAAAGAAATACTGCATTCTTCAAAAGGCAATTCAAGTTTAGCCCATGAATAACAGTCCAATAAATTCATCTTCCTCAAACCTAATGCTTTATCGTTGAAGCTATGGTATTTTATGCATGCACTCAACTTTTTTAAAATTTCAGATAACGCAGCCTCCTATATCTTACTCTACTCTATAAACTTTTATAGGAGCCTTATTTTTTGTTCTCGACATCTTTCTATTTTTCCTATTCCTTTTTTTGCAGAGAAAACATGCCAAGCCATTTCAAAATCAAAGAATACTGTCCGCTCGTGTTCCGAAATTTACGAGAAAGATTTGGAATCGATGATTTAGATTATAAGGAATCTATGACAAGGTGAGTTTCATATCTTTCTGAATTTGTCTGGCCTCTTATTTTGTCGTCCATTCAAACTTTTGTCCTTTTTTTGTGTCACTGGTTAATGAAGCTTTTTGAAACAATTGATAGATTATTACATTAATTGCATTACTTTCAAAGATCAGATTATACTTTTCGCTCATGTGTAGTATAGGAAATTGGAACAAATTTGTTCAGATAAGAGCCAGGTATTCATTTTTGAAGGAGTTGCTTCCATGTGTAGATTAGAATATAAAGTGGAAGAGAACCTCCAATATCTGCATTGCATTGCCTTAACTTCCAGTATCAATTGAAGGAACTGATGTCGGACAAGGCTACTACTCACTCCAATATCAACTACTCGTTTTTGATATTCTATAGTCTTGAAGTGCTCAATTGTTTTGGCACAGCATCAGAGGATAATATAGAGGTGAACCTTACAAAAATTCCCTTTTATGCAATCAGCAAAACCTCTCCCAAATTGGAGTTACCTATCTTTTTTTTTCTTTTTTTTTTTAAAAAAAAAAGTACTAAGTACCTACTAATTTGTTTGCAAAACCTCAAGAACTTCCATCTGTAAATCGTGAAAAATACATAAGTCAATCTTGGTGTTGGTTTGTTTTTTTTTTGTTTTTTTTTTCTCATGAATTCAAGCTTACAGTGTTTGTTTGGTTTGTTTTGAATTAAACCTTAATAAATGGTTCACTGTAGCGAGTAATTTATTACACCATGAACTTTTTGTGTTTGCCTTTTCTATTGTTTCAAATCTGAATCCCAATTCAGGTGGTCACTCCAAACAGTAACTTACAATGAGATAAAATCTCTCTGGACTCTCTATCATTTTCGTCAAGTTTAACATCATCGTTTAAGTTATAGCTGTACGTGTGTGCAAACTTGAAAAATTAGCTTGATGTAGAAGGGGCTAAATTTGCTTTTTAAAAAATGTTTCATTACCCATTAAGACATTTATAAAAATGAGAGAATGTACTGTTCTGGCACAGGAAAATTTAAATTTTTAGAAGAGATACTTTTTGCATCATCCATCAGCCTGAAAAGATAATTGAGCTCTTCATAGAAAAACAGCCTCTAGACCTGTTAGAGAGTCACATTTCCTATTGAGTCTTGCCTATTTTCTGCAGCTCAATTTAAGCATAGAGCTAACTGTATTTAGGATTCATTGAATTTGAGTGATTTTTCCTGTAAGGTACACTTCTTCTGAAACTCGAAAAATTCCCACAGCATATACTTTAGATTGAGTCCCTTTTTTGCAGCCTTACAAAGAGTTTCATGTTTTTGCACAGATTTTCTGTATCTGAAAGCTATGTAACTAAGTACAGCAGTGGGCACAAACCAATCAGCCGTGCTCAAACTTTGCCGATTAGTATCAGTGGTGATTTGTGCAAAGAAAAGCGCAGCAAATATTATAAATCAGATCCCAAGCGGAGGTTAGTTTTGTGTGTGAATGGTGTGGTTTGATGTGCAGTCATCGGCATAAATATCGACCAAGACTATTTTAACAACCACCATCCACTCAATAATCCAGTGTTGCGTGTTTTTGCTAATATTTACAATCTGTATTTCTGTTTAGAATATTTTTTCCTAATATTTTCGCAATGTAAATAAAGAAATCACTATTTCCATCCAGGAGAGTAGAAAGAAAGTAAAAGTAAGGTATGAAACAAGAAAGCAAACTTGCAAACCCTCTCTTTACTGGTAGCTTTTCAATCTTAGGTTGATGAACATGAAATCTTTATCCTGAACATTTGTCCCAATTTACAGTTACTAGTCATTATATCTAACCTGTAAATTAACACAATAACTGTAATTTTCCACAAAGAAAAAGATCTATTCCGATATTGGGGCTTCCTTTTTGAGAAGTGTTCTCCTGATGTTCTGAGACCATAAATGTCAAGTTAAATTGGAAACATGACAGTCAAAAGTTATGAGATCATAGTTTCAAGACATTTTTCTAAAGTTTTAACTCGCCATTTACAGAACTCGACATTTTTGGATTTTAATGCAACAATATACACTCTTCTGGCACAAAAACAAACAGTACTTGTAACTTTACATTTACTGTGTGCGGTTGCATGCACAAAATTATAGTGTCTATCTATAAGGACATTTTAATCTATAAAATAAGAGGAAAAATGTTTGACTGAGGACCTCAGAAGCATTCCTGACGAATAAGGAGTTTTCTCGGTATCCTCACTGAGAAAAGTTGTCAGGTATATATTTGTCTCCCAGATGACAATTTTATCTGAGTCCTCTCAAGTTCAAGGAACAAAGATACATATGTATAACTCACGACTCCCTCCTTGTGGAATATATTAAACCTTAATGAAGTTTTGATATCCAATACCGGTTGTTTTACACTTCTATTGGATTTGAAATAACATCTGAAACTCCAGAGTGTCGATCTATCCATGGTTATTGGTTAGTCACTCATGAATTTTGAGGTGGCAAGCCCTGAGCATGTAATTCTATCTCTGTTATGCTACATTTTAACAGCTTTTTTTGTGTGTGAGAACTAATTCTCATTTTTTCCTCCGTACCAAGACCTATTCTTTTTTTTACTACCCCCCCCCCTTTTTCAGGGGGTTAGCCCCTTTTCATATTTGCAATCAATGACTATTTAGTTGCAAGGAGGACAAAGTATTTAAATTTCGTCTGATTTGTGAAAAATCAACCAAAAGCCTCAGAGAATATATAGCTACTAAGGAGAGATGGGGGCTCAGGCATAAGAAGGTGAAAAAAAGAAAAAAAAAGAAAAAGGACAGAAGAAACGTATTTAAAAACTCAAATTAAAGCCAAAAATACGACAACTAACAAAGCATTTTATCTTTTCATTTTTTTTTAAGTAGAATCAATTTTTACTAGAAAAGCAGCTTCTTCTATCAGAGTCATTAAATGTTAATTCAACAAGGCTTGTAACCACCCCGACACGGATTTCCATGATTTTTTTTTTTTTTCTTATTAGACTTTATAGGTCAATATAAGAAAAAACCCAAATTTTCAGCATAAGTTGTCTTTTGGTGGGAAATGAACGTACACAAAAAAAAAAAAAAAAAGCATCAAAAATTGAATTCCTTTATTTTCTTTCAGCAATTTTTGCTAAAAAGTGTGATTAACCAAGGAAGAAGCTGCATACACAAGATTTTTATTTTTTAATTAGTTAGAGCATACTCTGAAGTTGATTTAAAAAAAAAAAAAAGTTGTCAGCATCTTGTTGGCTTCAGTTGCTACGCCCATTTTAAGAAAACTGGTTTTTAGCGTTAGAAATCAGGGTTAAATGGGCGTATCTTCAGCTTAGATGGCCCTCCTGAGTGAGCTTAGATGGCCCTCCTGAGTGAGTTGGGTCCAATTGGGAATTTTCTCCTTGAAATACATACTAACATAAACTAGTGCGCCAAATTTCAGCTTAAAATCTTAAAAATTCCAAAACTTACAAGGCTTTTTTTCAAACACGAGACATTTCCGAGTTTAGAGAGTGCATTTTTAGAAAAGGCCACAAAACTTCAAGAATGTTTTTCACAAGAAGTATTGAAGATATGAAGCTGAAAATTTGGGTTTTTTCTTATATTGACCTATACATTAAGTAAAAAGAAAGTGATGGAAATGAGTGTCGCGGTGGTTACAAGCCTTGTTGATTTGACATGAAATGACCCATTGGTTAACTCGTGAGAATCAGAGCTATATTTGCCTAGAAGGTGACAAAGCGAAAATGAGTCATTGTGTGACTTTATTATCTGGATATAACTCTTGACTCAGTCATCTTGTTATCTGTCTCTGTTTCGTATCTATCGTTCGGAAACTCGAGAGGGATACCAAGATTTAAAGATGGCTAAATCAAAGAAATTAGCTGCAACAATTGGCGTAAACTTAAGTTAGCATGTGGAGAGTCTACGCTTTTGTTCCTCAAATCTATCAGCCTTTTATCAAGCCTATGCATCTGCTAATACTACCCAGATTTATTCTAATAAAAAGTTAGGATTATGATCTAATTTTTACTGTTTGAACAAAGCTTTCAAAATTGTGATTGCTCTCACTTTCATGTAGTAACTCACAAAAATCACCAATGTCAACATGACACCTGAAATTATCATCAGCCCTCCCTAACTGCCCCTGTACATTCTCATTGTATTGTTCATTTGAAAGCCTTACTTTACATTTCAGGGATCATTCAGCGAAGTCTTCTACTTTATTTATATATTTATTATTTATTTATTGAACAGATCTCAACCAGTTGCTGTAGATTCCCCAGGAAAATCCGGTGCAAAGTTTTATCAGTCCTACGATAAATTATTCATCATCAAAACACTAACTAGTGAAGAAGTGGAACGCATGCACTCATTTCTCAAGCAGTATCATCCATACATTGTCGAGCGGCATGGCAAAACACTGTTGCCGCAATATTTGGGAATGTACAGGCTCACTGTTGACGGAATGGAACACTATGTTGTTGCAATGCGTAATGTTTTTAGCAATCATTTAGCAACGCACAGGTGTGTATTTGCAGAATTTTCCATATTAACATATTAAAAATTCGTTCACTAGTGAATTACTTCACTAGGTAACTGAAAAATGTTGGCGGAAAGTAGATAAATTGTGATTCTTCACCGCAAGTTCAAGTAACTTTCTACAAGTGGCAGGAAAATTGAATCAAATAACTTGAAATGAAGTATTGTGAATTCACGTTTCTTTAATGTCTTGGTAGGTACGTTGCAACTGGCTAAAATATGTTTCCACCATTTGTTTCTGTTCACGTCTGTATAAACCTGAAACCTGTCTTGTAATAATTTGTTTCTCTCCAAACAAAAATTTTCATGAGAAAATGAGCTCCATTACTTAGGTGCATCCCTCTCATTTCTAAAATTACGTTTACCTCTTTCATTACAGAAAATTTGACCTGAAAGGATCAACCGTTGATAGAGAAGCCTCTGATCGAGAGAAGGAAAAAGACTTACCAACATTCAAAGATAATGATTTCGTCAAAGAAGGCACTAAAATTTACATAGGTGATGATGCAAAAGAAAAACTACTTGAAACATTAAATGCTGATGTGGGGGTAAGTAACTCTCTTGTATTTAAACTTGAACAATACAATAAAATCGTTTCTTAATAAGCCTCCTTATGCAAAGAAGGCATGTGAAGTTTCTGATAAACTCTTGTCATTTTCTAGTACAAAGATGCTCTAATAATAATGTATTTGATATTTATAAAGCTGATGTCAAATAAGTTGGCAGTTGTTTACTTTCGGAGATCACTATTAATCGATTTTGTATCTATGCATTGTAACATCATTGCCCTCGGTCAATTCTTGGTTATGACACACAATGGAGCAGGTTAATGGTAGGAGTCGGACTAAAAGCTTTGTCCACAATCTGCAAAGCTTGCATCTGAAATTATGCACCACAACATATCTTCGCCTACCAAAATTCCTTGTAGAATATGATGGACGTATCAAAAACTTGTCATATTTCTCATACTCAAAAAAGAGGTGTTTTCTGTAATGATAAATTCAAATTTTTTACTAGTAGAAAACGAGTCTTTTTGAGTCAAATTGATCATGCAATTTCAATGTGCGTTCAAATAATATTTTCAGTGAGCCGAGTTTTCCTTGAAAATTTCATATGTATCGCGTATCAAAAGAAGAAGGAAATTTTTGTGGAAATAAATTCCAGTTTTTTGCTTGACATATTACTTACTTTCCAAAGGCCTGTGTCGATTTTTAATTTCTTGCAAACTTTTAGTTTTAATTTACTGATTTCAGTGGAAACTATGAATACTGATTTCTTTCTCACAACTTGATTTTGGACTTAAAAAACTTGTTCAACATTCTTTGGAAAATTCGGAATTGTTCCGTTGTATTGTGCATATTTGGTACCTATCAGTGATTTCTTTGTTTTCGCGGTGTTAAGTCCCCACTCGTACGTCGTTTCAGAGCTTTGCTCCAGCATTATTGAATAATTTTCAACAGCGAAAAAGGAAATCACTGAACTAATGATTCAAGAATGTAATCTAATATTTTGCATCTTTATCCGCAGTTCCTGACAAACCTTCACTTGATGGACTACTCCCTCCTCTTAGGTATTCACGACTGTGCTCGTGCTGAGGCAGAACGAAACGAGGTGGACGAAGGTATGGCCGGTGGACCGTCAGACGCCGAGGAAGATGAGGATAGCGAAGGTGGCATCGGGACTGGAGCAGGGGACCGATACCCATGGGGCTCAACTCCCCCCGACAGCCCCCATGGTCTTTTCCGTGATACATCATTGCAGTACGACGCAACCACGATTATTCCTGAACTGGACATATACGCAATTCCTTCCTCTGAAAGTAAGTTAATTACACTAACTTTTGAACCCTTATGCTGTGGTATTTGAAGCGAATTTGCAGTGTATTTTCTAATTGGACCGCGTTTAACAGAAAGGAACCAAGCCACAGCAGCTATTGCCAAATTTAACTGGGCACTTTAATTTTTTACGAGGGAACATTCGTGCGGATTCCTTTGAAAATTTTGAAGAATTTTCTTCTCACTATTCAGATAATTCACTGAAATTCGCACAAAAATTAAATCGCCCAAATAAATTTGGCAATAGCTGATGTGGCTTGGTTCCTTTCTGTTTAACGCGATCCAATTGTAAGACTTGCTGCTAATGGGTCCGTTGCGCTGGTCACAGAATCATGTTTTGATGCTTGATTCTGGTAAATTAGCTAAAAATAATAAGAAAGGTCCAAACAGCAACTTTCTAGGTTCAATATTAACTGAAATATCGCCCTTTGAAAAGTTGGGTTTTTGACGTCATGCTCTGCGGTAGTGACACCCTTGGTTTCTTCCACTTGCTTTCATCAGTCAGAAAAACGCTTATTTCTACTGGTTACTCAACGTGAAACTCGGATAAAAGCAAGGTGCAAGAAACCAAGGGTGTCACTACCACAGTAGATGATGTCACAAACCGAATTTTTCAAAGAGCAATAACTCGGTTAATATTCAACGTAGAAAGTTGCTGTTTAGGCGGATCGTAACATTTTTAGCTGAACTACAAGAATCAAGCATCAAAACATAATTCTATTACCAGCGCAACTGACCCATTGCTGAAACTTTTAAAATTAAGATTCTAGTTATAACATTCAGAGAAATGTATTTTGAACATTTTGACGCAAAAAATGTCCAAAAATGTTTGGCTGAACGGATATTTTGACAGGTCAAAATTAGTGATTAAAAAAAGAACCACGGAAAAAACTTTTTACGATATCAATCCACCATCTTTAGGTTCTATAATTTGTTGTTCCCCAGACAAAGAAACTACTGTATTCCACTGCTACAACATTTCAACTTGCTCATTGTTAGGGCTGTGCGAGCCTGGTTTTTTGGATTCGAGCCGAGTTCGAGTATTTTTTCACTAAGTCGAGCCGAGTTCGAGCTTTTTCGAGCTTTGAAAATGACCCTCAAGCCGAGTCGAGCTCGAGTCGAGTTCGAGTAATTTCAAGTTTTAAAACGTGATTTAATCTATTTTCTACAACAAATAATTCCAAACAAAACTCATAATATGATATTAATAATTATTGACGATGACACACTAGGAAGGATTTACACTAAAATTACAAAATTTTCGGCAGTAACGCGTTAAAATAACTTCCCGCGGTTTAATTTGAAAAGAGGACCAAACTTGGGAAGAAGCGGCGTACATCAAAGGAACTTCAGGCGGCACAAGTGAAGGCTTCAGAGCCCATTTATGCTCGCAATTCGTGTCGCCGTGTCGCCGGCGGCAGTTGTCGCCGCGACGTTTTTTTGGAATCGCGCGATCCATATTTTTGTAGCTGCAGCACCTTTTTTCTGCCGCCGCGACACCGTTTTTCTGGAGCGCAATAGGTCCAAAACACGTGCTCACTTTCAGTTTTCCAAGCGGCGGTCGTCGCCGCAGGTTGAAATTTGTCGCGCACATAAATGCGCTCATATGACTCCGTGTAGTTACAAACCGCGCGCGGGCGGCAGGAAATCGCCGGGCGGTAGCGTGTTGGCGCTGCGGATGGTAGAAAATTTGCCGACGAGACTTTGATGTTATTCAATCGTAAAATGATGGCAAAACTAATAATAGTTTAAGTATGATTGAAATATTTAGAAGTTGGACTCTTTCGGCGTTTTCGGCTCAAAAAAAACTCGAAATACTCGAAAAAACTCGTGTTGTTGACACTCGAGCCGAGTTCGAGTACTCGCTCGAACCTAACCTAACTTTCGAGCCGAGTCGAGTACTCGAAACTCGGCTCGACTCGACTCGAAATTCGAGTACTCGCACAGCCCTACTCATTGTATTTCAACTAGAAAACTGTTGGCCAATTCAAACTGAAAATCCCACTTACCTCTCTTCCAATTGCATGTAAAAATTAGGAAAATTGCGGATGGAAGTTCTACAGTCAATATCTCTCCAATTAAGTGTTTTAAGTCAATTTGGCAACCCTGGAATCTCGTCACGATTTTTTGTCAGATTAGAATACTGTTTCATGCTGTCCATACAAAAACTATCTAAGCCGCTCTCACCTTATTTTTTGTAGTATTGAAGAATGCTCGCAGCAGAAGTTTTTTCAAAAGTGTGCAACTTCCTCTTTGCTCTAAGAAGTATTAAATGTATTTACACTCGCACAATTCAAGTATCTAATCGTTTTTCATTGAAATCAACGATTTTTCGCCGGAAAATATTAAAATTTTTGCTATTCTCGGCATTTTTATGTAATGATGAAGATACTCAATTTTTACAACACTGTAATTGCATTGGTTCCCTTCTGCTTTGTGCAATCTGTTTCTACTATTCCATAGCCCCTTACTTTTTCCAAAGACAGCAAGTCTATCGATATGATTGGAGAAGTCTCCATTAGATGCACGAAAGAACACCAGTTAATCATCTCTATTCCATATTTCTCAACTCAGATGAGAAAGTTCATAAAATATCGACAATTTTACCTATTAATTAAATGATCAACTGTTCTATAACCAAAATGTGAGTCCAATAGGTCGTCCTCATTCTTCAAACTGAACCTTTGCCTTTACATAGTGTTTTTGTTTGGTATTACACACTCAATTGATTGAAACATTTCTTCTCCTTTTTTAGATGCTCCAGTGAAGGAGATATACTTCATTGCACTGATTGATGTTCTTACCCACTACGGAGTGAAAAAGCAAGCTGCAAAAGCAGCCAAAACAGTCAAGTATGGAGCTAATGTTGATGGTATTTCGACGTGTGACCCTGAGCAGTACGGTAAACGGTTTATTGAATTCCTAACCAAAGCTATGGAATAAGCTGCAAGGAGGCCATTGACTTTTGCCCAGCAGTGTTTAAAAAGGATGTTTTTTTTTTTTTTTTTGTTAATATTACTGAATCAAATTATCGGTTTCTTGTTGTGTGTATTCTGTCTCGTCATTTTTAACAGGTTGTCTTCAATTTTAATGTGTAGGAGGGCGAAAATTTGAAATAGAGGACATTCTTGTTCCTGGTCTTTTATTCGCACATAAATATGTTTTACTCCTATTTTTTGGCCTAAATATGAAGAAAACATTTGTTTCTAAAAACCTACGTTAAAAAATTGCCTACTATTCATGGTTTTTTGTAATTTTTTACCGTTTGAATGGTCTCAAACTCACGACCGTCCCGCATCCTGACACTATGGCTCCTAGCTTGCACTGTTACAACTCGAAGAGTAAAACTGATTCGAGGACTTAAACATAATCTAAAAACGTTTCTCCATCGTAAAAAAATAAATAGAAGACAAATAATCTGCAGTATAATTCATTCACAAGTGGATGAGAGTGCTCGAAAAAGTTTACTCATGATCGTCACAGCTAGACTCTAGAGATAAATGCTCCTACCAAAAAGCGTGTAAGTAGAGCAACTGGAATCTGGTTGGTGTCGGTGATGCCCAGGGATGCCCTGAAGTGGGATGAAGTATTTATCTTCACTAGATTTAAGTTTCTAGTGAATCGCGGTGATTTGGCGACATCAGTTGGCAAGTAATAATTCTGATCACTTGGGAGCTCACGAGCGTCATGCTCGTTATTTTTATATTGAAATCGTGTATGCCACTTAATAAAGGGTATGAACCAAGCTAAATATCTGGTGCTCATTTGTTTGTTTCCGAGGTAGGCGGCACGTGCTGCGGTTTTGTTGCGAAACTCACGACCGTCACAAGTAGCTGTTCGAATAGGGAAAACGGTGTAAAAAAAAAACATTTCTGAAAAAATTGGGACCATATACGGTTTTAAATCCTAGAAATCGCCCAGAATTAGGAAAACACAACTTTCAGAGGAAATGATGAACATGATTTTTCGACTTTTTTCACCCTGAAATGTCTCCTATTTTAAATTTTTGCCCAGGAATGAATGCAGTGCTGTTCTCACCAAAGAAAAAAACGCAAAGTGTTAAAGAAATAAAAGCAATTGATAAAATTTTGAGCTAATTTTAAAAAAACACACACTTAAAATTGAAAATACAGCTCTTACATCTACAGCACAAAAATTCATACATAAATGTATATAGAAGTCATGATGAGAGGAGTCAAAAGCCGCCCATTAAGTTCTTCCTCATACATACTCGCACCATGAAATAGCTCCTCTTCTGTGTGGAAGCTGAATTCTGTTACTCTCGACAACACCGCTGCACCTCTTCCTACCATTCTGCAATGACTATCATATAAACTGCAGTACGTCACTGTGGAATTCCAATTGCTCAAAATTGTGGGCAACCTGTTGACATTCTTTTTCTCAATCAATGATTGAGTATAAACGTCAAAGACTGAGCTATCCTTAAACATTAAATAGAACTGACTTACAGTCAACGTGATAAATGAGTCTATTAAATGATCAAAATAGCTTTGAGAGAAGACTGCATTCAGTAGGACCTTACTATTTCTCTTATTCTCTCCTTGAACGGAATGAAACTTACTTTATTCATGCTCGAAAATTTCCTGCCTCTAATCTTTCCCCTCTCTTAAGTATGTCTTGCACAGACTCCAAATCCTCCATCTTTACTGTAATATTTTTCTCTGTCTCTATGAATTTGGTTCTTTAGAGATTTCCTCAGAGTGGAAAATATCAGTGGCTTAGCTTAGGGACGGCATTTCTGCATTTTTGTAGATTTTTTTGTCATCCTTTGTGTTGCCTTTGTTAAGACGACAATTATGATGTATAGTTCCTGAGCTCACAATCAGCCTCTGTTATGTTTCATTAGTTCAACCATTTTGTTTTGTTCACTTTCAGTGTTACAAAAGTGATTGAAGCCACAATATAGTTTTGGAACACTGCAGATTTTCTGTAATAAATTTATTCTGTTTAAAGTTAAGATTGCTGATGCCTCACACTCAAAATATTATGCACTGAGAGAGGGGTGACAGTGGGTTTTAAACACTTTTAATGCGGTCAATATACCCCCCGCGATTTTATTGCGGAAATGTTAATTAGAAGGCCTTCTGATTGAGGAGCAACAAACCACCAAATTTGTAGTTAGAGGGTTTTTGAGAAAATGCGATTTTTGGCTTTTTAGCGGATATTTTTGGTCAAGACACTGAAAAAGTCAAGTTAGGCTGTTTTTGTGGCTTGTAAATGCAATACACTTTTAGTCAATCAAGTGTCAGTAGATAGCCATGCGTGCACATTGCCCGAAAGTCTTACCCATAAATCCCCGATTTTCGGGTTTTTTGGTGTTTTTCAGCAATTTGGCCCAGAATGTCCTAAAAAACCCGATAATCGTGAATTCAAGGATAAAGCTTTTGGGCAATGTGCAAGTATAGCTACCTACTGACACTTGATTGACTGAAAGTGTTTAGGATATGCATTTACGAGCCACAAAAACAACCTAACTTGACTTTTTCAGCGCCTTGACCAAAAATACCAGCCAAAAATCGAAACTTCTCCAAAAGGTCAGACCACAGATTTTGCGGTTGGTTGTTCCTCAATCAGTAGACCTTCTAGTTGACATTTTGGCAAAAAAATCGCGGGTGGTATGTTGACCGTAGTAAAAGTGTTTAAAACCCACTGTTGGGTACGATTTAAAAATGCAGATTTTTTAGGATAGTGAAATGCTTTTCTCTTTTAATTGCGAATCAGCCCATGAATTAAATTGTATGATCCTGTAATATCATTATACTTATTAATTGATATCATGTATTGTTCTCTCTGTAATCTTTTCTTTATTTTACTACTGAATTCAGTCAAACTGTTCCTGGCCTCAATATGAGCCTCTGTTTATGCATCTCTTTGCTGTCTTCTTTTTGGCAGAACATTTTGTTAAAGCATGTGCACATATGTCCGTCAGTTCCCTTCCTTTTTTTCTTTGAGCCCCAATTTTTTTTGTCAAGCTCGGAAGTTAAAATATTCTATTATAAATACTATCAGGTAAAAGGCTTCAACTATTGTGACGTTTCTCTCTTGTATGCACTACTGTATTATTCGTCGATTCTTTTGATTAAATCCTAGAAATTAATGTCAAAAGAATTCAACAAAAGCAAGGATTCCTATCATCTGTGCCAGGATGTCAAGTAATGTGTGAAGTATGTTATCCATTTACTTTTGATCAATGTACGAGAAAAAAATGTAAATTCTAAATTTTGACAAGAAGTTTCAGGTCTGTTAGCTGGGCAGAGCAGTTAAAATTATTAACTGCCAGCTTATTTAATGAACATTTTCTCGTTGTCCTTGGATTTTCTTTAATCTTTCAATTGATCAGCAGTACAAACCTTGTTTTTTTTTTCTTTCAAAAATTTCGTTTTCTTTTTTTCTTCGAAGAAATTGATGAATCAGTCATAATCTGCGTCAAAATACTTTTTCTTCCAAGAGTTTTGTGCCAGTAAAAATTTTCCTTTATCCTCGTTGAGAAAATTTTGAGTTGTTGTAAACATCTTATGTTTGAGCGTTGTCAATCATACCTTCACCAATTAACAATTTTCAACCACTACCCTGCCAATCATAACCAGTCTCTCCACAATCTCAGCGTAGAAATTAAACAATCATAGATTTTTGCTAATTTCTCAATAATTGAAATAATCGCTGAAACCATATTTGAAAATGCGGCATCAGTTTGAAAAATAGGCAATATTGTCTAGACGATTTTTTTAAAATAGCCTCTAATCATTCTTCAGAAAATTAAAAATGAAGTTTGACGGTTGTATGTATTACCTCTCCTAAGTCTTGAAATTAAAATTAGGGAAAGCTAAAAAGTTATTGATTTTAAGTGTGAAAGCCTAAGTTTTCAAAATTAATAAAATCACCACGCAAGTGATAGATTATAACTCCTCCTGACTGCTCTTTCTGGTGAGAAAATTCTATATAATTATCACTCCTCAATTGGAAGCATTAGGCCTCTATTTTTACTTCGTGTTTTTAAAAGTCATCATTTTTGTTGTGTACCTTAAAGTCATATTTTTCCCCATCCTCTCTGTGTTGAGCAGCTACTTTGTCCATTTCAGTTGTTCTTTTAGACTCAAAGTACCTACTATTAAACACGTTTATGTATCTAGCATTGTTGTTAGATCTATGTTGTAGCCCTTATATTTATCTTCACATATAACCTCTGCTTCATTATCTACTTTAAGTAAAGCGGAAGTATATCTGATCCTTTTTTATGGTACTCTTTCTTTTAATGGAAATTTTTTTCATTTTTTTTCACAACACAATAGTTAAAAATGACTCGGTTCAAAATGTTCCTGTAAAAGACACGGATGGATAAATATTGTCATTGCTCTGAGTCTTTGATTATTTTGTTTAAAGCCTCCATGCATGCAGTGGCATGACTCAGAATGTTTGCTCCCACCGTTTGTCCAAGGCTCTGCGCAATTTTTCTTTTTGTTCTTAAATTTTCGTGCCCCATGCAACAAGAGTTGCGCCACTGCACGCTTGGCTGCTAGTTCACTTTTCAAAGCAATTTTTTGTCAATTGATACGTTGAATTCTGTTGTAACATTTGCTTACAAAATGCAATGTCAGAAAATGATCCGAGATCTCTGAGATATGATGAGGATAAATAATTGTAAAAAAATCTTTTAAAGTATTAATAATTGATTTTAGTTCGGTGAGCTAAATCATAGTACCATTGTATGAGCCAATGAGTGTAATGCACAGGTGAAAATCGCTACAAAAAATTTAGTTTTGTCCACCAACAAAATTTTAAAACCAGTTTGTCTATCCTGGTTGATTGAAAAGTCTCAAAAGTTCAGCTGTCCATCGGATGAAGATTTTTCATTTTTTCTTATTCTTAATTAATTCCTCATTGGGCTTTTTCTTTCGTCTCAAAAGGTGTACCTAGTTTATTCACACTTGCCTCTGAAGTCTCTGCGTCTCGATATTTCTTAAGTTAAGGGCTTTTCATCCGGAGGCACAACATACTAGGCTTGGTCAGCAATCTCTGGCAATTGATTGCCACAATAACCAATATCAGCAACTGGCTTTGACCTTTTCAGAATGATTTGCTGCAACTTACGGATCTAAAGCCAGGTTCTTGAAGTCTCTTATCTTGTTTTTTATAAATTTTGTTTCATTTTCTCCAAAGAATGCTGAAGTAAAGTTTGTCCAAGCAACTTGTTGCTACAATTAATTCCATAAAAACGTTCAGTAGTTCGCAAATCAAATTCAAAAAGTTAAAGTCCTTACTTAGAAATCGTTAAAATCCAGTTTACTACATTTTATCAAGTATCAACTTTATAAAATAACACGAGTGGAAACTAGGGTTTCTTGGGTCAAGACACGTGCCAAAGTAAAGCTTTTGAAAGGGTCTGATGGAACCTATTATGTAGTTAGATCTTGAAAAGATCAGGCAAACCAAGGTCAAAATTATGTCAATTTCGTCCATTGATTACATGATCATTTTCTGATTAAAAAATCTCCAAGTAAAATACATTTTTAACTCTATCATGTATCCTCATGTATTTAGAACATAAGTTTTATATTTATTAGCCAAGCAAGATCAAAGTCCAGACTCACGCCTCAGTCCCATTGAAGTCAAAAAATTGGAAAATATTTTAGTTTGTCTCATTGTTTTTGCTTAGCTTTATTCAGTTATACCCTTTTTTTAAAGCGGGATGAATTCCACATCAAAAGGATAAGTTTTTTGATCGTGGATAATTCTGGTGTCAAACAAAATTCATGAGAAGTATGTAGTTAGACTCATGTTCTCTCATTTTTGCTAGTTGGCCCCTGTAGTTTTCTGTACGGTACTCTTTCATTGAACATAAAATCAAACCTCCATCAAGGTCTTTCCTTGTTAGTTCTACAGAAAGTACCAACTCATGAGAGTTTTTTTATACTCAATATTTTTTTTCAATGGAAGATAATTCCCTATTTTGCGGAATCCCCTAGCAGAAACTGGTTTGTATCGTCGTAGTCTTTTTAAAGGATTCCTGTCCTGTAACTCAACTTTGAGCTCTATATTTTCTAATGTTTCTTTGCATCTTAACACTAGCATGATTTTTGGTTAATCAGGCGTTTGGAGATAAAATCAGTGCTTATCGAATGAAATCCTCAAAAACTGACCATAACATGCCTGAGATTTTGTTGAAGCTTAAATTTAAGATCGTTACCGACGAGTTTTTGTAACTACTTTTTTGTTGGTTTTCAAAATTGTGATTATGTTTAAAACATTTAGTCATTAATCTATTTTCTTCTCAATTTGTCCTCTTTTCTTTTCTTTTTTTTTGTTCTTTTTCTCCTCTATTTCTCCCCCTCCTTAAAATTTCATCCACTTTTGATGTTATGATCTGTTTAAGTGTGGGAGAATAAAATCTTTGATATTGATTCTGCTGAAATGTTGCATCATCTTTTTGAATCTTAAACCCACTTTCCATTTCATTTGGTGTGATTGCTTTTGGGAAACAGAATCTACGTGCTAAAAAATTTGAAAGTAACCACTGCATAAGAGAGTTGGGCTGCGTTTAACAGAAACACATTGTACCACATCTTAGGGAAAGTTGAGTTAGAAGTAGTTTCGAATTTAACCAGTTGTAAATTTTCTTTTGTCAAAAATTAAAAGTCGAGGAAAATATTTTGAACGTGAAAGAGGTTGTTAAACTTTGTCCTTGACATTGAGTCTGCTGAAGTAAAACTTCAAACCTTTTCCCCTCGGTTCAAACTTAATATGCATTAGGGCATTTCTATTAATGGAACTCTCCGCTCTTCCTGAATAAATGAATGGACTTAACAACCGTTTCCTGGGTTAGAGAGTTCTTATGTCTGAAGTTCAATTCTGATTTTTGAAGCCCTCATGCCAATAATTCCTGAAGTCTTCGGGCACTGAAATCCTTTGTCTTGCTGACAAATAATGCAAATGTTTGGCACAAAATTTCATAAACTTAGATTGTGTTGATTGTCAAACTGATGAAGATACGCTTGAAAAAAATTAGAACAATTTATTCAACTGACTAAAAATTACAAAAAAGAAAACAATAACTTAAACTAAGTAAATGTATAAACTGACATTTTACATATTTACACTCAGCTGTGAACAGTAGTAAGGCTTGAAACCGCTCAAAGGTACTTCAGTTTATCCTGAATCTCATCGCACTTGTGTGATCCATCACAAAATGGACGGTGCTTTGTAGCTTTGCATCTGCAGAGCCAGTATTTGCCATCTTTTTCCACTGCAAACTTGACAGGCCTCATTGTTATTTTCATGAGCGGATTTTTATGTGTCCCATCACAGAAAGGCTAAAACAGTCAAGGCATGAAAAAAAACATAAGATTGTGCTGGCAAAACGATTTAAAGAATAAAGTTGAGTTACCTGCGGATGTGTTTCGCATACAAAAGAGCGTACTTTTCTCGGAGAAAATTAATAAAAGAGCCTAATAAAATGCGAGCCGGAAAAGAAGGATCTCCCTAAAAATGAAACTGTTGATTATTGGCTCCTTTGAACACTTAAATCTATTATGTTCAAAGCAGTTTTGCGGCATGTTAAGTTGATTTCACTGACGAGTGTGATCTGCTGATGAGGTCTAAAAAGGCACAAACCGGTATAGATCTCTCGGCGTGACTCCAAATTAATATTCCAATGCAAACTGCCTGAGCTGAACACTCACCCCCCTCAGTTTCGTATTGGTACGCATTAGAGTTCAAAAAAATTTTATTTTGATTCTAATCATAACTTTTGTAACTTCTTGGCTTCGTTTTTCTTTCTTTAGTGTGTGCAAATGAAAAAAAAAAACACCAAGAAGTGGCCCGAACTGTAGGTGACAAGGTGGAGAAATGGTGCTGGGTCCACACCATTTCGCAGAAAAAGCAAAGCCAAGAAGTTCCAAAAATTAGAGTCAAAATTTTTTGAACTCTAATGCGTACCAGTACGAAACTGAGGGAGGAGAGTGTTCAGCTCAGGCAGTTTGGATTGGAATATTAAGTTGGAGTCACATCGAGAGATTTATACTGGTTTGGGCCCTATTAGACCTCATCGGCAGATCACACTCAGTAGTGAACCCAACTTAACATGCCGCAAAATCCAAGACGGCATTAAAAAGCTGTCATGGATATGACCCGAGGCATGACACTAAAGTGCGATCCTTGCGCTATCTACTGTTGCTGCTGAACAACTCTCATAACAAAACAAGGAAAACTCGAAAAAGTGATTATCAGGCTGGTTGGAGATGCAAACGTATCTAGACTCAACCGCCCGCTCGAGAGCGGGAGAAAACACATATTCCCAAACTGTGCTTACAAATGAGAAAAAAACACCAAGATGTGGCCCGAACTGTATGTAACAAGGTATAGAAATGGTGCTGGGTCCACCAGTTCGCGGGGAAAACAAAGCCAGGAAGTTCCAAAAATTATAATTGGATTCAAAATTAAATATTTTTGAACTCTAAAGCGTACCAGTATGAGGGGCAGTTACGTAACCGACACAATTTAGCATGTTTACATGGACCTCCAGCAGTCCCGCAGGAGGAGCTGATACCTGTAATTCAATGGCTTGTTTGTCAATCACTATGACTTTGTAAAATATTTAGTGCCAAAGCAGCAAAAAGGAAGTTTAATACCATTAAAATTAAATAATGAAATTTGTTTAACCTGATGTTTACTCCAGCCGCAAGCACACCACATGTATACTTTATCTGCCTTTAGTTCAATTGGAAACGGCCTTTTCTCCGCAGGACGACCAAAGCCAGCTTGCTTCCATGCTGTGTAGAATGGTTGAAGGACATTTTTTGGTATAAAGTCACTGGGGTTGAACTTGCCCAGCTTCCCAAATGTCTGTAACATAAAATCATAGAAGCTGTTAAGTAAGAAAAACTGAAAAATATTAAGAATGAGCTCAAACAAGCTTAGACAAAAATCAATTTGAAGTGACTAGAACTTTCCCACTATTACACTCCCATAGACTAATGAGTATGATTGCAAAATTTATTTTGAAGTGTTAGGAAAATGATTCAGTTGCTTCAAAATGGAACATACCTCAAACCAAGCCGAGAGCTAGAGCACCTATCTTCCCTGCTCTTGAAGCATAAAACGTATATCGATGAAAATATTGCGGTAAAGGTAAAAATGTATAAAGAGTTATTGATTCCAATGTAAATTGATCTGACTCGCCATTCCAATGAGAGAAAGCGTGAAAGGCAGCTTGAGAAATTCTGGTGCCTGTCAGCTCACACCCTACATAGGAGAAGAGTTTTTCGTTCCTGAACACCTCAGAGCAGGCTTTATGCTTTGGTAGCTCTCTATAAAGGCTTAAAGGCAATGCTCAAGAGCGAAAAATACATTCAAGTTTTTAATATTGAGTGCCACAGAAAACAAACGGAAATTGCTTACACTGGTATAAATTGCAGCAGAATGAGGGGCCGATAATTTTGATGTCTTGGAAAAATGAAACGAGAGCACACATTTTTTGGCGAATTTGATCATTATGAACGGAAAGAGAAATAAAAAGAGATATGTAGTTCTTTTATATTGACAAAAATCTGGACGAGGACGAGGAGAGCAATGAATGCAATGCCGACTGGGAGGAACATACAACTATAACCTCAAACCTCAAACTCAAAAACACAACAACACCAGGAACCGGAACCGGTGCGCCGCGCGGACCGCACTGTGTTTGGCGCAATGCGTGAAGTATTCACGCAGTCTTGTAGGCGCTATGCGTTTCACGCCGTCCGCTGCTGACCGCAGGGACCGCGCTGTCTTTGACGCAATGCGTGAAGTATTCATGCAGTCTTGTAGGCGCTAATATGTCTTACATGCCGACCGCCGCGTCGAGGGTTTCTCCTTTTCATCTCAAGTTCTCGTCATCATTGCTTTCTGCGTCGCGCCGTTCCAGGCCAAATTCCGTGTTCGGTTTCTCTCTTAGTCTTAACTCGACTAATTAAAGGTGCTGTCTATTGTATCACAGAAAGACGACAAAATTAGAGATATACTCTCAGGAAATGAGAGATTTGGTCACCTTTTCTCATTTGTAATTTTTTTTCTGATTCCAATTTTTCTTTATAGCTACATTGAAAAAAATTGCAAAATTTGCCGCCATGTGGCCACCCCCCAACCCAAATCCGGCCCTGACTAGATCTCCGAGCTGACCGGGGTCTTACTTACACGCCGGGCGGACCGAGGAAATCTCACCAAACACCGAGCGAACCGGGGACACTATACCTTTGCCTTGATTTAGATTGCACCGAGCGGACCGAGGAAGAGACAATCTCACCAAACACCGAGCGAACCGGGGACACTATACCTTTGCCTTGATTTAGATTGCACCGAGCGGACCGAGGAAGAGACAAATTGGCAGCTGCTTTGAGAGTGGCGAATGAGTGTTACTGTGTCTGATCCAGTGACGATTCAGCGGGGCAGTGTAATGCGCTGTGACGCGCCCGGCATACGATGCCATGCTGCGTGTTCGAAAAGGATAACTACTTAGAAGAACCATAATTGCTGACTCCTGGGATTTTCCTTGGTATATTTACAATAGTATATTTACATGTCTGCGGAAGTGAGGACCAGACAAAACATAACTTCCTTTAGGTATACTGCCGTGCTAAGGAAGAACGCCATATGAACATTCGAGAGTTGCCAAATTTCTTTGGATGAAATGTTTATTTTTGAGAAAAATTAGAATTAAAATAAAAATAAGAAGCAGTTAAGTAGAAAAACAAATGGATTAGCTTTTTTTTGGGGGGGGGGGGGAGGTCAATGACTTGAGCCGGACCTTGATACTTCTGAGGACGCTATTTTTCCGCGGTGCGTTGTTTTTCTACTTAACTGCCTCTTCATGGACACGGTTTCTTATGCTTCAGAAAAAAGATTAATAATTCTTGTCTAAAACTTACTACTCCCTCCCGATGAGCGCCCCTCGGAAATGTTCGGTATAACGAATTTTAATGTCGCAAAGAAGGGCTCCGCGTGCTCCAGATTTCGGGTGCAGCAGATTTTCTTTATTTTTTTATCGAAAGTGCAATGTTTAAGAATTTTTTTGGCGGAGAGTTTGGTTTGATACGGCAATTCCATTGGGCGTGGGAAATTTTTGAAAAGAGCATGAAAAAAATGTTTCAAACTCTCTCAATCACTGAAAAATTGTCCGATTTACATTCGGTTTGGACAGGGTAGCTTGTTTTTTTGCGTAAAATTGATTTCTGAAATAAAAAAGTAGGGGTGCCATTTGAAAAGTTCGACTTACGGGTGGGGCACCCCCCGCCCCGCGCCCCTCCCGCGGTTTGGGAAAATGTCGAATACGCCAAAAGGTGTCCCCTTCGATATAAACGAACACGTCTTTTACCGTTTTTCGAAACTCCGACGCGTTCGGCAGATATTCAAGGTGGCTCGTTTTTCGTGAGACACCCTGTATGGTAACTTTAAAATATTGCTGAAGTTATCTTCAGAATATCATTTGTCGGTATCTTCAAAAAATTTCTAAAATCAATCTGCAGAATATCATTAGGTATATATGCGATAATTTGAAGAAATCTTTGTTTATATATGATACGTCATCATTTCGATGATTTCTTGATTTGTGAAGTTCGATTTATCGGTCAACGATGTCTACATATTTTTTTTTCTAAAATAACGAAAAGAAATCTCTCTAAATATTCGTGGTGGGTGTATCTATGACCTAAAGACTTATTGGCGAAAACGAGCATATTATGAACCAATGATAACATACCATCCTCGCCGCGTTCCAAGTTCCTTGGCGCGCACCTTGCGGAGCGCCTTCAACATCGTAGTTATACTTCAAACGCGACACTCACGCTCTGATGTGTAATTTTCGCATGTTGCGCATGTCGGAGCGTATGTCCAGTTTAGAATTGCCCAAAAATTGAAAGATTTTAATGCCGCGAAATTCATGTTGAAATCCACAATTTTTATTTCCATGCCGAACTGAGAGGGGGATTTTCAATTCCATGAAGACTTGATGGAAATGACTTTGGTTTCCGTGTGAGTTGCATGGAAGTGTCATGAGTTCCATGTCGAGCTCACAAGGAAATATTTCCATTTCCATGAAGACTTGATGGAAATGACTTGGTTTCCGTGTGAGTTGCATGGAAGGGTTATGAGTTCCATGTCGAGCTCACAAGGAAATGTTTTCATTACCATGAAGACTTGATGGAAATGACTTGGTTTCCATGTGAGTTTCATGGAAACGTTATGATTTTCATGTCGAAGGACATGGAAGTCGGACGATTTCCATGAAATCACATGGAAGTCGGATCATTTCCACGTGAATCTCCATGGAACCAGGGTCGGATTTACCAATAGACTACATAGGCTATAGCCTAGGGCGCAACGTTCTGAGGGGCGCAAAATTTTTGAGAATTTTTTCAAAAACGTGACTTATTAAAATTTCTATGCTGTTGTTGACAAATGTATTTCCTTCGCGTATCATAGGCACAAGGCCACTCCCCCCCCCCCCCCCC